AAAGCTTGCTCAGAAAGTCTCTAGTTTTCAAAACATGTACTCGTGCAATAAAACGTAACATTATAAACTCGTTGCATAATATATTATTATCGTGCTAAGTGATATCGTAGGCTTCCGCGGCCAGATCATGATCTGGGCTGCACGGGTGACGCCGCGTCGAAGGCTGAGGTGCCGACATTTTGACCGACACATCGCGGTTCTCTTCAGGTCTGTACTGCAACTTCTATTCAGGGCGCGGTACAGCCCTTAAGAGGACGGCGATACGTCGGTCGAAACGTCGGCACCTCAGCCTTCGACGCGGTGTCACCCGGGCAGCCCAGATTATTATTGTGCTGTTTGTTCTGACGACTAATGAAGAGTGTCGTGTAAACAATGAGAATGTGTGCCCTATCCGAGTTTCCAGAGTTCGCGTAATATGTGAACAATTCGACTAGGGGCTTAACGATCCGGCCCACAAGGCCCGCAATGCAGGTGGGTCCAGGTAAAAGGGGGCCAATTTTTATGGGATATTTTTATTATGAAAGATGCCCCTGCATGTGTTTGTTATACACCTTTATAAAGGGGCCCCGGATAAAAGTTTTCCGGGCAGGCTCGTACTCTATCATTACGCAACTGAATTCAACTCGATATTAAGTGGATTGACGTTGGTTTGCTCCAATAGAAATATTAACCGTGTGATATTTTACTCCCTTTTTTGTATATCAGAGTTATAAACGACCTTTTCTGTTGCAAGAATTTGTTCATAAAATGGCATTTTACGGTACAAGTTATGTATTAGATTTTACGGCACGAATGATTGCGTCACATCACACATTCAGTCAATCGCAGCGAGAGAATCGTGGGAAGGTAGCAGTGAACGGAACAGCTGGCCACAGATGTCAAATACCCAAGACGTCATAAGAAAGTAGTTTCGCAAAATTATGTTTCGTTGTCTCATAAATTTATAATGCTGTTATACAAAAAAAACAGCGTATGCAACTTGTATGTAATGTTGCTTTATTTTATTCACGCAAATTGGAAAACGCTCCTAACGTCGCTTGTTTTCAAAATAAGTACTTATGCAATAAAGCTTAACATTACAAATGAATTGCATAAACTACTATTTATGCATTTTCATATTTGTTTCAAGAAGTTTACTCTAGTTGTTTTCTGAATTAATTTTAAATTTCAATTATTCTTTAACAATACTTTAAAAATGTCAAAAAGTGTTTCCTTGTTTATCATTTCAACTTTTCGCACGAATTTTGTTAGATTGAAGTTTTATTTTATTTTACAAACAATAATATTAAGAATAAATTAATATCTGATCGACTACTTTTAATTTTTTTCTTTTGCATGATAGTCTTTTTTAGTACTAGAATGACGTATTTCCTCTATTATCTCTTTCATTTTTCCAAATAATCTTCTCCCCATATGTCACATACAGTTTTTACTGTGTTTTTTTACTAAATAAATCTAAATTTAAATGTTTGTTAATTTTTAAAGTGTTTCACAATAAAAGGCAATATGAAAACTTTGAGGCCGAACAAACTAAAAATATTGGGTGCCCTCTTTGTTAACAAATGCATTGTCTTGTCTTCCAAAACCGTTTATTCTAAATCGTTTTAAAAAGTAATATTTGCATACAGTATACTTTTTATTATAAAATTTATTATATTATTTTTTGAAAATATTGCAAATATTCAAATATATAGAAAGATTTAAAATAATATTTTTTTCTTTTTAAACTAAGTAGTCAAATTTCGTTGGTTCATTATAAACAGGAAAAGATGGATAACTCCTTATATGATCTATTATTTCATAATCCAAAAAAACGTGTTCGCACGAGATGCTGTAGTACTCGAACTATTCCCGGGCTAGTGTCGACAGTTACATCGGGCAAACACTGATTTATTGCCACCATTTTAATTAAATTCCATTTTATGACAATGCATCGGTGAACATTTGATGTAAAGCCGAAAGAATATCGATTTTTGTGTCATGTGTTTTTTATTATCTCCAAACCTTTTACTTTCATGTTTTGAAATATGTTTTTGGAAATTATGTCGTATTCAGGGCGTAACTCCATCAGTTTACAGGTCAGCGCCTAAGTGACACCTGTCCCTCTCAGGCTTTTTTTTTACATGTAGCGTCATCGTCTCTGAACATTTTTGGGGTATTGAACCTCTGGCATGGAATAATCCTCTGTTATTATTTTGTCTGGTCTCGTCACGTCGCAGTCAGTGTCTTTTTATCTCTTCAGTTAGGGGCTCGCCGCCGTTAGATCCCGGATTTTCTTGACGGTCACCCATTCAAGGACCCGCGAGATCTCGAATCGCTCAACCTCCGTGACGTCACGGAGCGTAGTTAAGCAATTCGGTTAGCGGCGCCGGCTTGGAAATGTCTCTTCCTTAACTATTCACTTCATGAAGATTTGCAAATTATAAAGTAGTAATTTCTGATTCATAAGGCCAAACACTTGGAAACAATTTTAAAATATATTCTGAAAGATTGCATAGCCAAGAAAATCTCTCTAGACGGAAATAACCAGACAATCCAACAGAACAACTTCAAATTCCTTTTTCTCCTAATTTTCTTCCCTTCCTACATGTTTTCACCATTTTCATGTATTCAAAATTCTCCCTGCGACGCAATATTCATCCAATTTGTTTGAATGTTTTATTAGCGGAGTTTACGATGTACACTAATAAACCGACAGAACGACTTTTTTATGTGGCTATTAATATCCATATAATTAAATATTTTGTTGGAGCTCTCTTTAAAAATAAAAGAAAAACATTTCAGTGCATTTTTTTATGACCGAATCAAAAGGCGTTTCTAAAAAAGATATCTATAAGCTTGTTTATTGTCATTTTGTGAAACAAAAATAAAATTTTAAGGGTGAATGGCTGACATTCATCGCATGGAGCTTTCTGATTAATTGATTAAAAAGCCAATTAAATCGTAAATATCTGATGAATGGTTAAACATAGTTCAAATTTTGCATGTGATGCCAGAATTGTATTATTAAAGTTTGTGCAAAATTTCAAATTAATAGGTTAAGAATAGCTCATTTTATCATTTACATGAATGCATTAGCCCGATTTGACAGAGTCGCACAGATATTTCTTGCGAACTCTCTTATCTATATCGCGTGTAGTGCTCGACAGACTGCAATGCGATGCTATCATAAACAGTACTTTATCAAAAATACATATGATGTAGTATAAATAATACTGAACTATGTATATTCGTTCACTAATAAAGATATATTATAAAAAACAGTGCTTTATCAATGTACTTCGGAGACTCTCAGAAAAAACAAGGGGCCTGTAGCAGTAGATCTCTTCCATACGTCACATAGTTTTTACTGTTTTTTGACTAAATAAATCTACTCTAATACTAGATATACAGGGCCTCATAAATATAATTCATATCTCCACGCAACAGAAATAAATTATAGAGGTTATTTGAATTAGAAGTAATAGTGTTTTATCCGGGTTGTAGTGTTTTAGTAATAGTGTTTTGCTTTCGGGTGAATGACCTCAATGACCCCCATCTCGATCAGATGTTTGTCCAGTTTCCCTGATCCATTGAGCAAATGCTGAGATGGTCCTTTGTTTTGATTCTGGATGTAAATGTAGCTTCACTATGCGCACGTTTTGTTGAACTCTCCTTTTGCTTGAAATGGTAGGAGAAGAAGTAAGGGCGAGTTTCTATTTTGTTAGCAATGCATAAAAATCATACTTGCAATTCGTTTGCCGATGCAAATAAGTTTTCTATAAATCGAAAACGAAAATATTTTTTTCAAATATTGCTAATCTCGCGAATATTTAAAATTTGTTTTTATTTCTTTATTTTAAACTTTTACTCATCTTTCAACTATTTATAGTTGAAATGACGGAAAGTAATTCTGCTACTCAAGAAAACGTGCCCAGATAATCTTCTACCCCATATTTCACGTACAGTTTTTACTGTTTTTTGACTAAATAAAACTTAATCTAAGTCCAAATCCACCAAGGGCGTTATAAGGATTCTATCGATCGAGCAGCGAGTAATAGCGCGTAGGCCTTTCGCTCGAGGTTTTTGGTTGCCCGAGAGCTTTAGAACCAGTTAACACACCCGGTACATTCAAGATTTTGTTTTTAACCTAAATTCAATTATTCAGGTTTACTTATTTACTTACTAAATGGAAGTTAAATTGACTCGATTTTTTTTTCATATTTCCGTCCGATAATTCCCTTTCTTAATCCGTCCTCATACTTCTGTCTAGAAGAGAATTTGCTTTCATATTTCCCTCATAACCATGATCCTTTCGATCCAGGTAAGTTATGTAATGTATGTCGTGCTCCATAGCGAAGGTAACAACAAACAAAAGGTATCAGTGAAAACTAAATACATTTCTTTATGTTTTGAATGAAAAAAATCGGTAGCCGAAAGAGTTCCCAAAGTCGACGCGTGGGAAAAGCTGATCCCCATCCGCAGGCCTAAAGTGGTACAAAAATTGATTATTTTATCTGGATCTTTTGATGAATGAAGAATGGTATCTTGACTAAACCCAAATATCTGCCTCTGATGCACGCTTTTAAGATGTGATCAAGGTTTAAGTTTGCTGCTGTGAAGTGCATGTTGGTGGAGATGATTTTTGTAATAGGTAAAGATATCTTAGTTTGGAATATTCAGATCTCATTCTTGAAGGGACTACTAGTTTGCTGCGGCCAATTTTCTTATTGATATGTAGTGAGTAAAAATAGAATAATACTATAAACGAATTGCATTCACAGTTTTATTGTACGTACATTATTATAGACCGGTAGAGACTTTAAATGAATTTTTGTGGTAATGTTCGAAGGTCACACTTCCACCTGCCCTGTTACATGCGATGTGAAAATTGCTGTATTACGTATATTAGAGGAAATATCAAGTGAGCCGATTAAATCAAGAATTTTTCAAAAAATAATTCGATTATTTTCAAATCAATGTAAAGTGAAGTTGCAAGCGATCTCCGTGGTTGCTGAACAATGCGTTATATCACATCAGGGCACGTCTTATATCATATCAATGCACGTCCTATTGCTGTAACAGAAGTCGTAAGTGTATGTGTGACTTATTTCAATCCCATGTTCTGATTATTCGCTGATATCACAATCAGCGACCTTATTTCAAGCCTTATCAGAAAAGATGTGAAGCTGAGGATTTAATGTGTACCGTTAAGGTTGGAATAAGGTTGGTATTTCTCTAACCGAGTCATGTGCATGCTGAAATATTAAAATCTATTACCAAAACTAATCACAACGTAGGGGAAAATTAGATTAAGTGGGTCCGTTAAGTTTACTGACCCAGGGCTTGAAATGTTTTCCCTTCATTGGTTTTGCGGAATATAAGTAAATAACAGCTAGTGGAAAGATCATTTCAGCCAAATTAATTCTGTATATCCTGTACACTATATTATTTAACTTGTGAAAAAATGTAATGCAATAATTATAATATTTAGTTTTCAAACAAAAATTAACTTCACAGGCTCAGTTTATCCCTTTACGATTATTCAAAAATTAGATTTGGTTATGTGAAAGTCCATGTGACTGAAAAAGGAGCGGAAATAGCATTTGTTGCTTTGAAGGAGTTTCTGTTACAAAGGGGTGTTCAAGTTATGCTACAAGCGGAACATGCTTTGAAACTGGATTTTCGAGATAACGAAAATGCCTGTGCTTTAACAGATGGTATCGATTGAAGGCTTCCACGTTCTCTGAAAAAAGGTCAATATTTAAAGATGTGATTGATTTTAATTGAATTTTACAGAAATAAAGTCTCGGTATGTTCATTTCTTTTATTTTGTTTAAGAGATTAAGAAAATTTGCGGAAGCATTAAAAATTGCCATGTAAATGTTTTATTTATTTTTACAATAAAATTTAATTTCTGAATTTTTTTTAAATTCTCATTCATTTTACCTTATTAATCTATAAGGCACACTGGTTTCAACCTGACAAACATTCCAGGTGTGAGTAATTTTTTCAGTGCTACAAGTGAGACAATTGTCCCCACAATGTAAGGGGACTATCTCAAACAACCATCATTTAAGATTTAATGTCTGAACTTGCGTAGAAAAATTTCATACCCAGACTATATAATCAGCCTTACTTTTTCATTCTACTTTGAAGACAATCTTTTCTTCACAATTGTGGTTAGGCGGAAGAGCAGGTCCTATGGAGTGAACCTCACCATTAATAAAAACATTATTATTATTATTATTATTATTATTATTATTATTATTATTATTATTATTATTATTATTATTATTATAATTATTATATAGTACGGAGTTGCTCTACAGCTGTCGCCGTTTCTCCACTCTCAGTCTCCATGCCTCTCTATTGGACCATAGATCATCTAGCATTTCTCTTTCCGTCATAGCCTCTTGCACTCCCTGCTGCCATGCAAGTCTGGGTCTTCCTCTCTTCTGTCTTTCTGTCGGCACAATTTCAGGACTCATTTTGGCCATCTTTCGTCTGTCATTCGCATAACATGACCGTACCAGACGATTTGTTTTTTCTCTATTTCGTCAAGGATAGATTTCTTTACATCCATTTTCTTTCTTATCTCGTCGTTCCTGATTCTGTCACGTCTGCTATAACAGCAGCTTCTACGTCAGTAGTCCATTTCAAGGGCCAGCAGCTTCCCTTTTGTTCTTTTATCGATCTCCCAAACTTCTGAACCGTATGTTGTAACACTCTTAACTAGCGAGGAGTAAAGACGTCTTTTAGTAGTGTTAGTGATGGTTTTGTTCCATAAGACAGAGTTTATACTTCGTGTCACGTTTCTCCCCAAGCTTATTCGTCTTTCAATTTCGTCATGTCTATTTCCCTTATTGTTAAAAAGTACACCAAGGTATTTATATTTGTTTACCCCTTTCATTTTTCCTCCATTTTCGACAAGAAGATCTATTTCATTTTTACCAACTGCCAGGTATTCAGATTTGTCCATATTATTATTATTATTATTATTATTATTATTATTATTATTATTATTATTCCTTTCCTGTACTGCCCCTTACTTACCCACACTTACATGCACTACACTTAAACACATGCCGAAGACCGGTCGGGAGCTTAGAGCTTCTCCCAGCTGGGGCGGGGCCCCCTGGTGGGAGATACCTGATTAGGGAAATCCACGCTAGCCGACGATAGCTCGTCATCCAGCGGGGTAAGATCAGCGCCACCTCCCGAGCAAAAAAATACATACGACACTTACGTGAACAAAGACCTTAGGATTTGACGCGCTGGGAATCAAGGTGGACCCCCTCCCCCACCCCAAAAAAAAACAGAATTCATCTCTCCACACATTAGAAATAACTTTTAGCTTTTAATTTGAATTAAAAGTCAATTAATTATTGTTTTGAATGAAAAAAGTATCGGGGTCTCAATTAAGCCAGGACCAGAGGACGTTCCCCCAGCTACTTCTGGTCGTCCCTGTCAATACTCGCCGTCGGATTTAATTAATAGTAAGAAACTGTCACGCTGCTTTCGGGTACTTTCAGGAAAAAAATGTACATGGGCTACGCAAGTTTACAACAAAAAATAATTTTAGGACAAAAAGATGCTTGGCTTATGTTCATCAATTTATCTTGTCGTGGGGAACCAAACGAGTTCTTCATCACCTCTGTATGCGCCTTAAATTTCCTCCAAAATGCTTTTTAGATACTCAAAACTCAATCAACCTTTTTTAACTTTCTGGCTTTACTTCGTAAGACGAGAAAGTATTGTGATCGTTTACCGGAAATCTGAGATATTTCGACAGAAAAACTCTTATTACCGTACGAAAAAGGTAACAAAAAAGTGGATACATTTCGTTTCTGTACGTAGTAAATTACTTCGCCTTTCATTTTGGGTAGTCAAAATCTATGTCCTATAGGTCCTTGATTCCGAAAAATCGATTGACGGCAAAACGTGAGTCTATCCCTCCATCTATGCTACGTGGTCAACGCTAGCGCCTAAACCGTTCAAACGATTCTCTCAAACATTGATATTCTCCTATCAATATGGAGAAAGTTCAGTTCCTGTGAGTTTAAAACGGATATTTTGATTTTATGGATATTTTACGTGAAGAATAAACATTTTCATTATTTTCAAAATTGGCTTCAAATTTTCGACTGAAATTGCACCTTGGATAGCGTAACGCATTCCAAAGACGCAGGACTAATTTTTGTTGTAATCCTTGTTTTTCGAAAATTACAATCTTCAAAATGTTTTTGGAGTATCCTACAAACATAGTATTCAAAATATTTTTTTTCGGAATGAAATTTGTTGTTCAAAGACCGGTATTGAAAAAATATCAGGTGCAAACTGTCAAAAATGTAAATTGTTTTGCATAATTTTGGTTGAAATTTATGCAATTTGTAAATAATTATTTTCTCAAAAACCACTTCAATTTTTTTTCTTTAAGTTTTCTTCTTGTATGTAACAAAAAAACGGTAAAATAAAATGGCGCTTATCTTATTTTTGGGGAATGGTATTTGGTATTTATTGTAAAAAATTAGCAATGCCCAAATACAATATTGATAATAGATATTTTTGACTAAAATAAAACACTCTCTAAAAAATCATATCTTTAAAACAAGTTTCGTAAAGTTTGGTGAAAAAACGAGATGTTTGGGGGCAACTTCTTGCAAATTACCCGAGTAGTACAGTATATTTGATTCACTATTCCGTTAATTGTTCGCATCAATGTATAAATTTCTCATTCTTCATCAAAGTTCCGACGGTCGCAATGAAATGTCACATAAGAGTGTGATAGATCTTACATCATTTTATCTTGAAGACACAATTTATCGGTTCTTATCAAACGGATTTTCTTATATCATATTTTGTGATGGAAGTTGATCGCCAGTGTATCGCCGAAAGAGTGATTGCTTCTGAGTTTATGAGATGACTGAGAGTACAGTGAAAATCATTTTCGTTAGAAGCTCATAAAGTGCTCAGTTTATACAATAATTATGCGATCTACTAAAATAATGTGAACTAATGTTTCATTTAGAAATAATCATTATTTAATTTATATGCTCCTAGCATGGCTGTTTCAAAGTGGCTTCTCTGTTCTTTTGTGTCATTAGTGATCTGTACGGCGGTAAGTTCAGAAGACTTATGTGGTGATGTGTGCCTCTGCCACGAGCAGGATGCCTTCTGTGTCTCGAAATATTTAGAGCTTGTTAACTGGGATAGGGATTTGTCCTACTTGTACATCAAAGAATCAAATGTGACATCCATATTCCTATCTGATATCAAGCCAAATTTAGTGTATTTGCATATTATCGACTCGCACGTTGATAACTTAAATCAAAGTATGTTAAAACCTTTACACAAACTGACCTTAATTGAAATAGCTGATTCTCAGTTGGAAAGTTTGCCAAGAGATTTATTTAATTCGAACACAAAGCTTAGACAAATCGATGTGTCGAAAAATAATATTGCATATTTGTCGAGTGTTTTGTTTGCACACCAACATGATTTGGAAAAAGTTGATATTTCTTGGAATAACTTAAATCGTGTACGGAATAATACGTTCAGAATAAACAACAAAATTAATTATCTAGACATCTCTCACAACAAGATTGCAAGATTGGATACTGGAGCTTTCAACATTAGTCTCGTCCAAAATGGCGTAGATGGAGGTAATAATTGAATTGTAATAGAAATAATAATATTAATAATAATAATAACATGAGTTAGATAATAATAGTTATAATACAATTGTAATTATTACCATTAAAACAAACAAAATTAACATTATACATGCACGCCGATCACGTCAAAATTTGTTTGTGAAAGTTAAAAAATAGTCTCTGTCAAAAACCATGATAGAAAACAAAATTGTTCTGGATTCACCGAGTTTTCGAAAATATTACCCTGTAAGACAAACAAAATATTAATTTTAAACAAACATTTTGAATTATAAAAAACAAAAAAGAGTAACACATCTTATGTGCACGACGATCACATCAAAAATTGCTCTTTCTGTTTAAATTGCGTTTTTTAAACCGTGCTTCTGGCAGGTAACAGCTGTTGACGGTTTCATCCAATCGGGAGCTTAAACGCCATCGTGACGTCACTGAAGTAAAGTTTAGGCTTCCGATTGATGAAACCGTCCAGAGCTATACCCGCCATGGGAACGGTCTAAAAGAATGTACTGAACGTTAAGAATACGCCACAAAACCGACGATCCCCGCACACAGTGTTTTGCCTCTTTCCGGGCAGAGCGCTGTGGAGACGTCGAGGAGACGGGAGCTGCGAGTGTGCTCTGCCGGCAGGTGGGTCCGCCTTCATCAACGTCTCGGACAACGCCCTGGCGGACGTCCCGGAAGACGCGTTCGCGTGGTGCGAGGACGTGACGGAGCTGAATCTGTCGCGCAACAAACTGACGCAGCTGCGCGCGCGCTCCTTCTCCGGGCTGCGCTCGCTGCGCCTGCTGCGCCTCGACCACAACTCGCTGCGCGCGCTGCCCGCGGCCGCCTTCGCCCCGCTGCAGGCGCTGCGCCTGCTCGACCTGCGCGCCAACCTGCTGCAGGCGCTGCAGGCGGACGCCTTCGCCGGCTGCGCGCGCCTCGCGCAGCTGCTGCTCGCCGACAACAAACTGCAGCGCCTGCACCCGCGCGCCTTCGGCGGCCTGCCGGCCCTGCAGCGCCTCTTCCTCGACAACAACCTGCTGCTGCAGCTGGACGGGGCGTTCGCCGGCGCGCCGCTGCCCGCCCTGCAGCTGCTCAGCGCCGACAGGAACAGCCTGCGGCGCCTGCGGGCGGGGGAGCTGCGCGGCGCGCCGGCGCTGCAGGAGCTGTCGCTCAAGGGCAACAACATCTCGCGCGTGGAGGACGGCGCCTTCGCCGCCAACGCCGCCCTGCAGGTACCCACCCGCCGGCCCCGCAAGCGCACCGGGAGACGTGTTCCTGGGCACGCCAGCTGATACGGTCATTAGTCCCGTTAGTGTGGTGAGGAGGTATGAGATCCGGCGTCGACCTACACTTTAACGTACGAGAGAGTTTCCTTCCAGGTATCTCCCACCAGCGGTGCGCCGTACCCTAACCTCTCGACTGGGCGCCTGGCACGTGTGGTAAGGAGTGTAAGAGGTGAGGATAGTACAGGGAACGGAAAGGAAAAATCGTGCGCGGTCCGTTTTTAGGGTACTGCTCCGGCATTGGCTTGGTGATGATCTGACAAACCACTGAAATGTACCTACCAGAGCAGCCACCGCTAAAATGTTTCTCCAGACAGCGTCTGAACTCGACCTACTTATCTAGCTAGTGTCGGAAATCCTGACACCGACTGGACTGAAAGCCATGACCTCCCAGTCAGAGGCACTGTAATGGCATCAAAAATTGGTGCCCTGAGCCACTAAAAACGGTACGGTAGCAGGTGTTTCGACGCTAGTTAGATCACTCCCAAATTCCTCGAAAAAAAAACATACAATACACCTACGGGACTAATGTCCTTGGGGTATTGGGGCTATCTGATAAGCAGTAATATAGATTATAGGTTAAATCTCAGAAATTAAGTTAAAAGAATTCGAGATAAGACACCACGCGCAGATCCACTAGGAGGGAAACGAGGGAAGTTTTCGCTGCTAAAATATTTTCTGTAACTATTAGTTTTAACTTGTTACGAACCTCTCAGGAAAAATTATTTTAGGATAATCATTAAGACAAATAAAAGTGTGTTGCAGCAGGGGCTTAGTGTAGCCTGAATTGAATTGATGCCGTACTTTCCGTGGCGAGACTCAGACCACGAGGCCCGCTCTTCCGTCTGACCACGCAAATTTTGCTACGCTCCTTTCACCCACTAACGGAGAAAGAATACGTTTCTTGGACGACGAAACAGGTGATTTGAATTTAGCTCAGAGGCGTCATTTAGGCTTGAGGATCTTTTACATGCAGTAAGTCTACTAACTTGGGACAGCCGGCTTTACTTCCACTCCGAAGGAATTTTTCGCCCTAAAAATCCTCGGCTTCGATCGAGTTTGAACCCGTGAACTTGGGGATAACTCACTGATAAAAAAAACACCATCACTGCCGCAAAAGCCTGCGATATTTTACAAGTTTTGTAATGATACATTCGACCAAAACATTTTTAATTTCCTCTCGCAAAATTTGTCTCTGGATCCGCCACTGAATACACGCACTTTTATTCGTGAAATAATGTTTAACAAACTATGCATGAAGCTACATTACACACATGTTCATCTGCACTAAGATACTAACATGAACAAAACAGAATGTAGATAATATAATTTAGTTGGAACATATCGAAAATAGTATTTTAACTCCGCAAAACGCATTTTTCTAATTTTAAATTTTTCGTTTTTCCTTTATTAACCCTAAATTGATTTTTGAGGTTGGGATTTTAAGTCATGCCGATTGATTGATTGCTTAGTATTTCCATCCATATCAACTGCTATGATCATTAGTCCCGTTCGTGTAGTGCATGCTTTTATCACTGCATGTGTTACGTTCTTCCCAAGTGGTTGATGAGATCGCCGACCTTCATGTCGGTTGGCAGTTTTTCCCCGACCAGGTATTTCCCACCAGCACGGCACCAACCTAGTCGGGACAAGCACTAAGCTTCCGACTGGCCCTCTGGCATATGTGAGTGTACATGTGTGTGTGAGAGAGAGAGAGAGAGAGAGAGGGGGGGAGAGGATAGGATAACGAAGAGGAAGGAAAGATCGAGCGCGAACCATGGCCCGTTTGTTAGAGTACTGCTCCGGCAGCGTAGGCTTCCGCAGCCAGAGTTTGTGTCGTCTAGGCTATCCGGGACGAGCCGCGTCACTGAACCTTCTTAAGGTACGCCCTGAAGAAGGCCACAATACGCTGGCCTAAACGTTAGCCATCATGTCAGTGTCGGGGCTCGTCCCGGATAGCCTAGACTACTGCTCCGGCACTCGCCTGGTGTTGGTCGGAGAAACCAAGGTCAGAGCAGCCGTCCGCTAGACTCGCCCTCGTACCGCTCATCGAGTAATGACCGCCTTTCCGTTTGTTTCCTTTGAAGAGTCTGCACCTGCAGAACAACCAGCTGGAGGAACTGCCGTGCGCGGCCTTCTTCAACCTGTCGTCCCTGGAGGCGCTCCGCCTGGACGGGAACCGGCTCAAGTCCTTCCGCCTGGCGCCGTTCGAGCCGCTGGAGGCGCTCAGGAACCTGTCCGTGGGGGTCAGCGGCGACGGCGGCTGCGAGTGCGGCGTGTTCGCGTGGCTCAGCAGCCGCCGCGTCGCCCTGGAGATGGACGAGCCTTCCTTGAGCCCAACGTGCGGCGAGCTGTACGCGATGTTCAGGAACGGCTCGTGGGGGGAGGAGGAGTGCCCGACGGCGGCGGTTGGCGAGTGTCCGTGGGATCCTACGGAGACCACCCCCACCACCACCACCACCACCACCACCACCACCACCACCACCACCACTACAAGAGCCAGCGCGCCAACCAGTCGCCTTACGTCTCCGATGGTCGCTGGTGAAAAAATTCGCTCCGACAATCCTGCTGTGGCTGCTGGCGTTCCTGGCGAAAACGATATGGAAGAGAATCCGTTCAAAGAAATACTTTTCTTTGTATTCGGATGTATTATCGGTGCACTGATTATTGGTGTAATTTCCCTTGTTATCTGGTATGTTAGTCGCTCATTACTTCTTCGCAGCATTTACTTGCATTCATTTAGTCGTTTAACTGGTTGGAATCACCAACGCGAAGTTTGTGTGCTCCTTCTTGAGGTCATCAACCTGGTGAGGGGTGTAGCGGTGGGCGGGCAGCCAAATGATGTCGAAGGTCGCATTTTCATATCGCGAACTAAAGTTCTGGTCCAGTTCTCGTTCGTTTTTTTCGTGTTCGCGCGTTTCCAAGGCTTCGACAACGTCTTAGGGGCGTACTGTGGTGGGTGATTAAAAGAAACTGCAGAGCGCCTACACTGTTTTGACCTGTTACTGCTGGGAACAGAGCGGGCGGGAAGAAGTTAGTACATAAAAATGTTAGCTCAGAAATTCTGATGACGTACATAAGTATTGCGGAAATGTTTCAATGCGGATAACATCGAGAATTTACGTGATTTAAATGGTTATTAAACATTAAAGTAAATATTTATTATCTTTTTAAAAAAAATTACCTCGACGGGTTTCTGTGGTAAAAATTAAAGTACATTAATTTATTATTACTTTCTTTATGAAAAATATTGAACGTTTCTTTCAAATGATATAATTTCATTTACATGTAATAGTTTCATTAAATGGAGCTTGAATCTTGCCACGATAACACTTATAATATATTTCGTTAATTATTAAATTAATTCCTTTTCATTTTTATAAAATTTAAAGAAATGAATTATTAATCATTAATGAAAATTGAGCAAGAAATAATAAATTAAGTTATTGAATGACAACAAATTCACCCACCCAAGTGAAGGTTTTCATATTTCTTTATCCACATTGGTTAGGTAATGTGAAACATTATTCTATCAGTTTATTATAATCAGTTTCGTAATGAAGTATATTACCGCGTAAAGTAATGGCGCACTTTGCCACTCTTCTTTTAAAAATATTAAGACTTATTTGTCTTGTATCCTACATTTAAAAGATATTCTAGCGACTTCCTTATTCCAGGAGCAAAGCCTCCTTCATCTGTCCACAAAACTTTGCCGACCAATGCCTAATAAGTTCTCACACATTTCACAGACGAAGTACTAACAAGTCACAGCCTATTCACAAAAATATGATGGTCTTGTCCCCTTTTTTTAATAATGTCCAACCCAATTCAAATAAATGTTTTATTCGTTGTACTTATACATGTACATCTTTCTAATACTTGAGCAAACAGGTTTAATAAATAACCAACCATGTGACCACACCAAATATGATATTATACGCGCAAGTTTTCTTGAGCCCCGGTATACCTACTCCCACTCCTTTACTAAAATTAGTTGAATTCGGAATGAAGAAAAGAAACAAGTTTTGTTGACAAACTCTGGTAACCAGAACTGTTTGCTCCCGTCTAATGGATAATAGTTTGCATTGAAAAACGAGCTACAGATTTCATACAATAGTCCTGTCAATAAAATAATCAACCCCCAACTCCCCTCTTATGTAGTGAAATGAGGGCTCAAGAAAATGCGCGGGGATATTATACATGTATATGTATATATATATATATATATATATATATATATATATATATATATATATATATATATATATATATATATACACACACACACACACACACACACACACACACTCAGTGGCGCACCCTTGGGAGCTCATGGGGCTCCAGAAGTCTACAATACATACCGATCACTTGTTACGTTATAAATATTAATTATAAGTCAACAAATAAAAAGAAATTTTATATCCATGATCAACTAAACATTCTTCATAATCAAACATCAAGTCGGCTGGACCTTTATCCTCTATACTGGGTGCGCCTAGGATAGCTACTATAGAGTATAGAGCGTCTCAACCTTAGATTGTCGTACAACGTAAATGGCCCATGGTATTTCCTGAGTGCTTAAATGTTTCCCCTTGCTTTATTTTATTGCAATAATTACACACGTTTAGAAAAGAAAGTATTGGAATTGACAGTGATGTCTAACAAATATGATTGTCGTGTTTTTATAGGACAATCATTTCTTTTTCATTAGAAATGAAATTTTTGGACAAATAACATGTGCTGCCAATTTCTTTCTCTCATTTGTCATAAATAACCACAGGGGTTGGAATAAGTGTAAGCGACAACAGCGACACCAGGAGGAGTACCATCTGCAGCGACTGAACCGGGAGGAGCATTAAAAGCAGAGAAGAAGCAGATGCGCCACTGACGAATGCCAAAATCAACGACTCGGGTAAAGTGATTTTTGGTGCTTGAGGAAGTATCTATATAAATAAAATTGAAATGTCTACCTGTGATTTCAAAATAACTGCCTTTTTATGATCCGTTTCAATGGATGCCCTCATGATTGATTGATTTATTTACTTTGATATTCATTATAAATTGTTTGGTTCGGAATTCTTTTTCAGTACGTAATATCTCTTATCTGATATTCCCAATTTTATTGGAAAAAAAATCGAATGTTTAAACTTTTTATTTCTTTTGGGGTTTAATTTAAATAGCTGCTTTGGATTTCTACTCTATAATGTTAATTTGATGATTCTTAGTGAAACAAATTGTACCACGATACATTTCTGGTGTAATATCTGATTAGTAGCCATAATGTGTTCTAAGAGAATGGATTACTCCTATGCAGCAGTTGAGTTTCTCGGACGACTCCGAAACTATTCGTATCCAAACTCACCTTGTAATAACTTGTGTCGCAGGTTATCTCTTAGAAACAAAACGGCTTTAATGTCTTCCTCCACTGATTTAATTATTAAAACGCCAAATGAAATAAATTTCGGAGCGGAAATAGAAGCAGCATAAACTAAAGAAGCGATAACACTTGCATGCAGCTTTATAACGACATGTAAAATTTGACACAAATACGAGGATTTTAAAAGTTTCTAACACTCAAGAGCGTAATCTTTAGTAGGCCACATTGTTTTTGTCCTCAAAATGTGTTCTCCATTAATATACTCGGTTTCAGGCCATACTAATATCAAAAGTGTGCAGAAAATAACTTGCAATTTATAAATTAGTGAATTATTATTATTATTATTATTATTATTATTATTATTATTATTCCAGTGGTGATGGTGACGACAGCGTCGGCAATGGCAAAGACGGATGTGGTAACGAAGACGGTGACGAATCGTAATGTAAGTTCCGTGTGGTGAATTGATGAGATGTTTACTACGAAAGTATAGAATTTTGAGACAGTGAAGATTTATATATCGCTGGTGTAGTATCACGGAATCACGACGAGATGAACTGTGAGTATAAATTAAAGTTCTCAATTCGTTTATCGTCAATTACGTTAAAATGACTAAAGAATGAACATCTTTAATTTGTTTACTGTGTACGACGTACGTCTTACTCACGCCATGGCAGTGATGATCTCGGCAGTTACATCGTCTCAGAGTATATAGCGCCTACTTGTGCAATGTGAATCATGAAATATATCATTCACGTTCTCTCGAGGCTTCAAGAGTCACGCAATTTTGAAAGAAGAGGCGTGAGAGTGTACTGTGATTGTGTACATAGACTATCAAACATTCCACATTCACTTCAACAAGGAAGAAATTAACATAATTTTTTTTTCAAATTTTCGTTTCTATCAATCTAATCAATTTTTTCGTTCGAATTTTCCATTTATCTGAGTAGTGGAGTAATATTTTGCTAATTTTCACTTTCTTGTGGAAATGTACATAGAATGTACAATATTTTGATGTTAATTCAAATTGAGATAATAATAATTATTATTAAGTTTGAAAATAGTACATCGTGCAAAACGAAAAATAGTTAAAACATTTGAAAATAGTATATGAAACATACTCAATGTTCCTGTAGAATATGAGGTATAAACTACAAGCAATTTAGAAATGAAAGTGGTTAATTATTGAATTGAGATTGCAGCCAAAATAAATTTGTGGGCTTTAATGAAATGAACTTTTCCTGTAAATATAATTATATAAATAATTACGTACATATTTACTTATTTTTGATAGCTCTCCTTTTTTTAAAATTTGTTATTTATCTATATATATATACATGGTCTATATATATATGGTATATATATATATATATATATATACATATATATATATTTACATATATATATATATATATATATCATTATATAATATAGGTATGTATAGTATATATATCACTTAAGTGCTTTTAATATATTTATTATAGTACATTGCCATTATCTGGAGTTGTTAAGTCCAGAGTAAGGAGGGATATTAAATGGTTTAATAACAAAAAATATATTTTATTCCCTTGTAACATACACAATTTCTTTAGCATTCAAATTCCTTCCCTCGTTGTTCCCCAATCATGACGGAATCAATTTGGTTGAAGTAGTATCTACTCTTCTTCTACTATAACTCTCTTCGCCTCCAGGAACATGTACATCCAATCAGATCACCGGATGCTATGATTTAATTATAATTTATTTTAATTATTTATTTTATTATTTGATTTCTGAAGCAGGTGTCCCATGCCTGTGCAGTGCCTCTGACCAAGAGGTGAGGGTTCGAGTCTCGAAGGCAGGGTTATCGACACCTGTAAGATAGCTAGGTCAAATTAAGCTTCAGTCAGGAGTAGGATTTCAGTCGGTAATTTTCCATTTTCCAATTCTCCGATCAACACCAGGCGAATACCGGAGCGGTACCCTAACAAACGGGCCTCGGACCGCGCACGATCTTTCTTTCCCCTTCCTTGTTATATCCTCACCCCTTACACACACACACACACACACACACACACACACACACACACACACACACTTATATGCAATAAACCAGCATGTATGTCAAGAGATCAGTGAGGCGCTTGTTCAGCTAAAAACCAGCTAACGTGATAACTTTTGAAAAATATCACTGTCAGATGAGACCATGTATTCATACTCGATTTACGGTAGTTTCGTTTTATTCTGAGTTGGCAAAAGTCGTTACCAACCTTCACACAAACGTTTACGTTGTAGAGACATTTTTAAAATTTTTTGAGTTTGAGGTGAAGAAATTATTACTTCCGTAGATTTGGCCAACATGCAAGCAATTCATGTGGATTGTGCTGTGGTAATTTGCTAGTGTTGCTAGCGATTCGCATAGTAGTTTGTTCAAAGAATTGTTTGCCCCGACTGGGACTCGAAGCCGGGTCGTGTGATTCACGCCCAGCTGCTCTAACCACCAAGTTACCGAGAAAACCAATCCTTTGAACAGCTTGCATGGTCAGACGGAATTTTAAATTCCTACATTTCGCGCAAAATTACATGAAAACTACTCATATTTTCAAATAATTAAACATGACCATATTTCAAGATCTGTCTTTAAACAACAGATTTCATTGAAGAAAAAAAAATCTGTCTTCAATATTATAGTAGAATGAAGATGACCAAAAAAATAGCACTTTTGCAATTCTCAAAAAATATGGGATTTCAGCTTCCTTTCACTTTGCGCTATCTGTGGACAAAGTACAATCAAACAATTAGGAGCCATTTTTTAGAATATTTTTAAAATGTTTTTGAGGCTTCATGAAAAGTAGCCTCAAAAATTAAAATATCCTGCAGAACTTCCAAAGTCTCGATTTCGTTCAGGTCGATCGGGGAATATCAATTTTGGAAAAAATCGGATGAACGGTTTACGCGCTAGCGTTGACCACAAAAGGTCGAACGGACGGGCGGACGGCAGCAGACGTTTCGCCTTAATAGATTTTTCGATATCAAGGACCCACAAAACACGGATTCTGGCTGAACAACGTGTTAGAGGAAATAATTTGCTCTATATATAGCAACAGAATGTATCCTCTTTTTTCGTAACAAGGGTCCGACAAGTATTTCTGCCGAAAATTCGCCGGCGCACGAGAACATAACATTCTTTTCTTACGAAGTAATTGCGAAAAAGTAAAAAACGGTGCTTCATTTATTTCTTCTGTGATTTTATCGTATCGTATTTTAGATAAGACTTATATCGTTTTGAATTTGGGGCTAGCACGGGGCCCCCGGACAACGTCCTGTCTGCCCGTATGGAACGTATGCCGCTGTCTGACACGAAACATAAACCTTAGCCAAACCCTAAACAGTAATGCTGTAAGAGACGCGAACATAAGCACATGTTTAGATCATTTTCCCGCCAAAAGTTGTGACGTCATTCTTGGCATCTCTGTGCTCTTCTTGTGCTTAGAATATAATCGATACGTCCAATAATCGTTATCGCATGCTGCTACGCGGGTTCGTGTACGCATTTGTGTTGTGTGCGTGAAAATCGGTGGAAATAGAAATGTATATGGAATGAATACCAAAAGCGTTTGAAACGCAATCAATTAAGAAATAAATTTAAAAATGAGTGTGTTTGAGTTGGTGAGTGAATTGTGTCTGAAAGTTTTCGATTCCGAATTTAACAAAAATGACTGGTATCCGGACCTGCCAAAGATACGTCGAAAGGCTTTGAAGAAATTGAGATCCAAATGTTACGAAATTCTTCTCCACAAAGTGTCCATTCCAAGTAAGAGAATTGAAGAGTACTTTATGTTTTCTTATTATTGAATATTTTGTGTGACAAGGTTATTATGGTAATCTGTTGTGTCATCTGTCAAGATTCGAATTATGAAGATGATTGGAGTCCCGCAGCCCAAGTTATTGGGCATGTATTCACTCTGCAGCAGCAGGGTTTATTTCGAGATGCCAAGAAGATGATGATGTATGCTCATAAAATGGTAGATTCAAATTTGCATTGTAATCCTGTGGTGATAGCTGTTCTTGAACTTCTGCTTAGACTACAAGATTCTGTTGAAAGGCAGGAAGATTATGAGCCGGTAAGATTTTAGTTTGCTGAATTTGTTTGCGTTTTGTTCACTCAATATTTGATGTACTTATGTCAGGAAATTACATTAATTCAGCTGAAGAATAAGGTAACTAGTTCAGATAAAATCCAAACGTTTTTTTGTCAATAAGCCCAAGTTAAGTTGCATGATATTGCCACTAGTATAAAATTATTAATCAAAGCTAATGTAAAGAAGAAGACCAACAAAACATGGGTAACACATGACAACTTTCAATATCTATTCAGATAAGAACACTTTATAAACCACTGTAGATGCAATCATCAATTTTATTTACTACTTATTACTTGTTTCCCTTCTGATCTGACAAGTCAGTAACATGGATCTCAATCCATTATATGTAACATAAGTGCTTGTCAAATTTATATCAATGTACATTCCTTTTGTTTAATTGAAAGCTTATTTGATATCTTTTCGATATTGCTGATAAATTGCTTCAAATTGTAACTAATATTCTTTTGTTGTAATATGTTTCATGAATTGATCACGTACTAGAAAACAAGTATTTTATCACTAGTTTTTTTTTTTTAAATCATCCACTGTCATCTCTTGTTTGACAGTTGTCATTAAGATTAAATTGAAGGTTAGTGTTAGAAGATCTATAATGTTCTTTGCCAATTTTCATGTTGCAATAGTGGCAAATACTACACTAGGGTATCCCATGCAAATTATGAATATTTTAATATTATGGCTGAAGGAATTTCATTGTATAGTCAAAAACAGCGATATGAATCATTTTATAATTGTATGGTTAAGTGATTGAATATTTTTAAAACATGGAAAATATAGGATACTAGATGAATCTATGCAAATATTCCACTCTTGATAATTCATTGTTTTGACGGTGAAAGTATTTTCCCATATGTATCTTACATTATCCCAATATGACACACTGTAGTTCTTCACATGTTCACCACATCAGTATCACTCTGTACTTTCATGCATGTCCCCATAAAAATTTAATGTTGTTTTTATTATGAAATAATTTTGTAAACGTTCCGCCAAACGATAGGGCAGTAGCTATAGGTCCAGGTAGTGTAGAGGGGAAACACCTAAAATTTAATAGAGACGTCCAAAAACTCTTTGAAGAATAAATTGCACTTTTTAAATCCTTGTTTTAAAAGTAAACATACTTCACATGGGAATCCAACTTTGAGTTTGTGGCAGTATGCTACGAGGTAAGGGAACTTTCCAAAAATGTTTTAGAACATCTAAACAGCCAATCATTTTGTAGATAAAGTCATTAAAAACATAATTCCTGTCTTTTTGTGACAGGAAAATATGACTAGTGCTCTGGGATGCATCGTTTCCAAGTTATGAATGAGCAAATTTAATAATGAGTGTATCGGGTTGCATTTCACATTGTAGTTTTGATTATTAATTACTAAATATGAGTGATCTGTAATACAGTTCCAATCAAAATTGACCATAGTCCATGTAATTACCTTTCGAGTATAGCATGCTTTTCTTAAATATCTCAGTACTCCTGGTTGAAAAGGGATGTTGTCAATAGAAATAGTATATATGATAAGTGGTAATAAGCATATTGGTATGTGATATATCGCCATTTATTATGGTGGCAATCATTTGGTAAAAATTGTTTCAAAGTTTTTATCATCATTACTTTACGATATTTATTTATGAATTTAATTTTTACCGATTCAAACCTTGCTCTTTAATAGTAACACAACTCCATAGGTTTTGCTTTCAATCCATCCCTGCATGTCAATACCCGTTATTTAGTCATCAAAATTCCATCAGTGACGTGGGAGTAGGAAAAGAAGAAAAAGAGTCATATCTCTCTCTCTCTCTCTCTCCTGTCAATAGTTTTGGGAAATGTTCCAGATTCTTTTCCGCTATGAGGAACCGAAGCCTTACGATCCTTCACAAGGGCCCATGCCCTACGACATCCTGCACCCCAGTGCGTTTGAGCCACAGCCGTGGATGCTGCACCTGGAGCGACAAGGGTCCTCCGGGTACTTCCCAGCAGCTGGTTCTTTCCCATTCACCAGTGAACCGGGACAGGATCTGCCCGTGCTGGGTCGCTTCCTGCAGCCAGCACGCATGGACGGCAGGGGGTGAGTGCACTTTCTGTGGTTTGGTAGTTTCTGGGCACTAGATGAGAAAACAGGGAAATGTTTGAATGTGAAAACCTTGTGTAGTAATTGAATCTGTCCATTGCTCACAGATAGAATGCTTCCAGTTTTCTAATTGTGACAAAAGATGTTTCGTTTAACCTGTCAGGTCATCTGATGAGGAACTGATCATTTTTATGCTGATGTTCAGAAGATTCTAAGATATTTCTCAAAGCAATGTATTTTCTTGTTTTTAAGCAGCTAAAACCTGTTTTGGGGTACTGACAGTATCTCTAGAGGTGAATAATTGCTCATTCCATTCATTACAATAAGAAAAATTGATTGACTCAATTCTTAGCTGATTCCCTCTAGGATATTCTGGGAAATTCTAGAGAATCACATTTTTGATGGCTTCAATGCACCACTGAGAACATTGTGAAACGATGTGAATTACTAAACTATCTTCATAGCATTTACTTGAATCTTTACAACTTGATTCATCAGATTGGCTCTAATTAAACCTAATATCTTAAGAATAAAAAAAACTAACAGTGTGTTTTAATTGATACTCTGTGAGGTAATTTTTGATGCTCGAAAATGGGGGAGCCTAGCAAGTATAATGGTACATAATAGTAGATGTAATGTGTTATAAAAGTTAGGATTAATTAATTAGTTAATTAATTAGTCAATTTGATTATATTAAGTCAGTCGTAAAAAACACCTTTTGAGGTACTTCCAGGAAAACTTAATTCTTTTGGATGAAAGAACTACACCATACAAATCAAATCTTTTACCTCTAGTACAAAATTTTGAAGTCCTTTCCATTATTTATGTATTTCATCCTTTTAATTTAATTGAAAAGGACGTGTTTGTTTTAATTGTTTCCTTTAAATGAACTATTCTATTTGAGGGGATCAGAACAATAACAGCAGATCCCAACCAAAGTTCATTTTGAGAAAAATATTTTTTTCTGTTTTCGTTTATGTTCATTTTCAGTGTGAACAAATTTTTAAAGGTGTAATGTAATTTTAAGATTTGGACATATCCGAATTCATTTGATATTTCAGCATACAATACGTATATGGCAGGAGTTTACTGTTGTACTTCTGAGTGAAAATGTCAGGTCGAATAGGGTCTACTGGTGTTATCGTGAGCACCTAATTTTATCTCTTTTTAATTGTGACAAAAGATGTTTCATTTAACCTGTCAGGTCATCTGATGAGGAAGAAAAACAAGTAATAAGTAGTAAATAAAATTGATGATTATTTGAGGGGATCAGAACAATAACAGCAGATCCCAACCAAAGTTTGCTTTTTCTATATAAAAATTATTAAAATACTTTAGGCTTGAGAGAATACTATTTAAATTAATAGTTGTAGTGTCTTTGAGTACCTCTGTACAAATCCATCGAAGTTGATTGCCGAGTCTTGTTTTTGATGCTTGTTTCAGGAGCACCGTGCCCTTATATGCAATTCCACAGTTTCCAGTCCTAACAGAGCCTCGTGGGTTGCAGATTCCATCAATTTCTCTTGAGGTTAGCAGCGACATTGTTTTTGCAAGGAATTATGTACTTATTTTTATAGTTTGAGATAGTTTTCTTTGAAATGTAATTTTAATTATTTCATATGGTATTGCTTTTGTATTTTAGAAGTGTTACTGCCTGTGTTTGTTTGTTAATAACCAAAATATAAACAATATTTCATGCTTTGATGAGTTAATTTTGAAAACTTTGTATGTGAATTACTCTTTCCCATACTATTATATAGTACAGAGGAAGTTATGTAATGCTGCAGGATAAACAGTGATTTTTCGGCTGAAAAACTCATTTTGTGGCTCCCTGATAATGAAAAAGTGGATAATTCTTACTTGTATATGTAGTAAAAAATTCCTCTTGAGTGGTTCATAGTCAAAATGTATATTTTTCAAAATGATGAATGTCTGTGAACAATACTAGCAGCCAAATCCTGGACTGGATTTCCTCTAAAATTGATATTCTGTGATTGATCTTCCTGATGTCGCAGCCCCTTCGGTTAGAAACGGATATTTTGATTATTGGTAGTACTTTACCTGAAGCCTCAGTGATCTTTTCAAAATCTCAAAAATTGCTCCAATTTTTTTTGTGGATTAAGCAAAGTACGTTTATAAAAAGGGCACAGGCCCTAACTCCCAGGTTTTAACTTTGAGTTTTTGAAAATTGCATAAGTTTAAATTTCTATTATTTTAGTTATTATGTTATCGTGTAGTAGAAAGGGTTAATTATCAACCTGTAAACCATGCACTTGTAAAAATTGAACCTGTTTCATCTAATTTGTTTTTGAAGATTTTGTACATTTTAGAAGATTGTTCAGATTAACATTGTTCTTCTGGAAGAATAATCACTCAAATATACTTGTATTTTCATACCATTTCATTTAGTGTTCATATCTGCTTGGAATTTTGAAACTTTGTATTATTGTCCTAATTTGTCTTGGTAAAACACAGTTATTTGAAGTAATTTTTTGGTAAAGACAGTGTTATTGAAGAAAATAAAATTTTTAAATGGTCAGAAGAAGCTCAAGAAAAGTCCCGATAAAGCCGGAACAAGTTGTTGGGAAGAAAAGTTAATTGGCATTTCGGATGCATCTAAACTTATACGAAATCTCCATGTAGCCAATGGTTTTATTCAGACAGAAGAATACTGGCTTCAGAACACCAATTTTTGCTATGAGGTGCCTGCAAAATATGCCAACACAATGGTGACACATTGTGTGGTTAGAATTGAGCTAGCTGTGCTACTTACAGAGGGGAAGTAATTCTCTGCATATAGGAACGAGATTTATCCACTTACTTGATACTAGTTTTTCTATTCTGTCAATAATTCACCATTTCCTCCATGCCATGACAATTCTGACTCTATATTATGTAAGTAGTAATGTGAAGAAGTCAAAAGCGAAGTATTCTCTGATATTATTATTTCGGTCAGCCGGGCTATGGTTATTCAATCGGGAGCTTCAGTGCTAAAATTTTAAGATTAATTTTAGTATTGAAGGTGTCAGTTGGATAATCGCATCCAGTACTCGGAACATTCATGTACTTCAATTGCAATAAAATGACTTTTGACGTGCTGTCAAGGTGAAGGTGGTTATCCAGTCAGGAGCCATGTTACGATTTAATTTTTGATTGATACATCCAGTTGGGATAACCGCATCCCACCCGATAAAATCAGAAGTCACTATAATTATAGGTTATTCCGATTTAAACATAGTGCTGCTTGAAGGCTATGAGCAGGAAGGTGAGGTGGACACAAGCTTCAATACAACTTAAATTGATGTTATTGAAGTTCCCGATTGGGTGACTGTTCCTCCCCCTCTTCATACAGCTCGTGACCTTGAAGGGACGCTACGTTGATACTCCCATTTTAACATAGTGGCACGCCGAGGTAATTTGTTCGAAGGAGACGAGAACGTTTCTATCCAATCGGGAGCTCCAATACCAAAAATGTAAGTCGCAAACGAAGCACCTGATTGGATGATGTCTCCCTCCAGCTCGTGCGTAGAGCTTGTCCCGGCTGGGGCGGTGCCCTGTTGGTGGGAGATACCTGGTTTGGGAAAACCCGCTAGCCGACTGTAGGCCGGCACGGGATCTCCCTATACAGCGGGGGGGGATCGCTGAAACCGCCCGAGCAAAAAAAGAGCACTACACTTACGAGACTGATGACCCTGGTAGTCTACTCGCCCGGTATGTCACTATAGCGATACCGGGCGCGTCGACTGCCAAGGTCGTTAGTCCCGTAATTGTAGTGTTCTTTGCTCGAAGGAAGAAAGAAAAGAAAAGAAACGTTGGAGTATACCAGATCCATGATACTGTAACAAGATTCCTTGCAACAGTATCATGGATCTGGTATACTCCAACGGTTCTTTTTCGGTGATGTATAACACTCGGTCAATCCATCCGTCTCGTGACCTTGAAGTGCCACTGTATTTAATCGGAGAGAAGAGCGCTTAGGGGCGGAGCGGAGCGCCCGGTATCACTATACCGAAAAAAAACAAACCCATTGGAGTATACCAGATCCATGATACTGTGACGAGTTTCCTTAGTACAGTGCTGTCTTAGTCCTGTGACAGTATCATGGATCCAACGGTTAATTGCCGGTGTCATATAACAATCGGTGAATCGTTTCTTCTATCTCGTGACCTTGAAGCGCCACTGTATTTATTTAATCGGAGAGACGGGCAGAGCGGGGCGCTTAGGGGTCGCCGGCGGTTCCAGAAGGCCGCGGCGGACGAGGGCTACGCCACGCCCAGCCTGAAGGGGTCGTGCGCGGCGTCGCCGAGCGCGCGCTCGCCCGACGAGCTGCTGCTGGCCGCGGACGGCGTGTGGCGCGCCGCGCTGGCCTACCGCCCGCCGGCGCTGCGCACCTGGGAGACGCTGGGCTCGCGCGTCCCGGACAAGGAGCGCCCGTTCCTGTCGGAGGCCGGCCAGGTAGGACGACGCGCGGCGCGGAACGGCGATGCGAGGACTTAGATGTAGATTTATTCAGTCACCAAAAAACAATAACTAATACAACAAAAAACAACAATTACAACAAAATAACAACTACTACTACTACTACTACTACTACTACTACTACTACTACTACTACTACTTCTATCTACTATTCTACGACTAACTACTACTACACAACTACATTACAACTACTATTACTACAGCACGAACTACTATTATACAACAACACTCACTACTACTCTACTACTACTATTCAATACTACTGACGACTAGCTTACTACTATTCTTTTACTAGCTCTTTACTAACTCTACTACTACTACTACAACTACTACTACTACTACAACAACTACAACAACTACAACTACTACAACAACTACAACAACTACAACTACTACTACAACTACTACACTACTACTACTACTACAACTACTACTACTACTACTACCACTACCACTACCACAACTACTACTACTACTACTACTATTACAAAGTAAAAACTGTATGTGACGTAGGAGGGAAAAGATTATCTGCGCACGTTCTCTTGAGTTCCAGAATCACTTCCCGACATTTTAACTATAAACAGCTGAAAGATGAGTAAAAGTTTAAAATAAATAAATGAAAATAAATTTTAAAAAATCGCGGGAATAGCAATATTTGAAAAAAACAGACATTTTCGTTTCCGAGCTATAGAAAACTTATTTGCATCGGCAAACGAATTGCAAGAATAATTTTTCTGCGTTGCTAACAAAGTAGTAACTCGCCCTTATGTCTTATCCTACCATTTCAAGCAAAAGGAGAGTTTAACAAATTGTGCGCATAGCGCAATTTAGATTTATTCAGTAAAAAAAAAAAAAAAAAAAAAAAAAAAAAAAAAAAAAAAAAAAAAAAAAAAAAAAAAAAAAAAAAGTAAAAACTGTATATAATGTAGGGGGGAAAAGATTATCTGCACACGTTTTCTTGAGTTCCAGAATCCCTTCGTGTCATTTTAACTATAAATAGTTAAAAGATGAGTAAAAGTTTAACATAAATAAAAATAAATTTTAAAAATCGCAATATTAGCTGTATATAACTTAAAACCTTAACCCACTAGACTTAATCTGCAAATAAAAGATGGCACACATTTTTCACTGAGATATTTTTGGGGGAAAAAAACAAACTCGTCTTATATTTGAGTAAATATGGTACATCGTACAGTGGATTCCGAATTCCACCCCATACGCAGTGCTGAACTGTTGGGAATGAACTAGCTACACTTCAGCGTACCAACACTGTCAGATGGAGTATCTAATGAAAGATTCACACATATGTGATACACAAACTTACATTACACTACATACAGAATATTAGAAAATAAATAACACATTCTGTATGTATTTATACAATTTCTGTTTCATTTGTCTCTAATACGCAGTATTCTTTACTATTATGTATATTATTACTAGGTTTATTATTCCGTATTTATTTTATTATACTATTCTTGTCTCTGCGATTGAACACAAACACTCAGAGACAGACAGATAGATATGAAATGCTGCAACTCACGCAAGCCACCACTAATCTGACTATGATTTTACTCTCATATGCTGAGTCCCGATTATAAAATAATTAATTAAATGTAGCTAGCATTTGCAGGTCTGTGTAATTTAGTTTAAACGGAGTGTGTACAGAACTCACACATCGTGTGCCCCTTGTAGGAAGCAGCACAGCATTTCATCGAAATTGTGCGGCAGTGGCCATTGCTGCAGCCTGGTAGAAGGCCAGTGATTGCGCCACACGTTCTCTCTGTGGAGCAGCTGACACGTGATATTGGGTATTTGCTGCAGGGAGTGCAATCACATACATTCCTGTTCTCTGAGGTATTGGACTCATAATTATTAATAGTTTAAGAGAATAAAATAAGATTTTATTTGCATGTGTATTTATTTAGCCAATAAACTGATAGATTGATATGTTTCAGGCATCATACAAAAAGAAATCTTAAGTTAATGAACCAAACATAAGTAATACAAATATTACAAAAAAAGTACAAAATAAATTAAAGTACTGTAATACATTCACAATGACACTTATAGAATCTTTCTTAGAAATATTTATTCTAGGACTTCATATATTTATCTTATTTTCAGATTAAGCTTTCTAATCTCACTTACTTTCACTTTATTCAAGTCTTTGATATTTTATTGTACCAACTAGGTGATCATTGAAGCTTGTGTTTTGGAATAAACTTTTGTTTTATTTTGTAGTTTTCATTGTCATATTTCAAAAAATTGAAATTTTTTTGACGCTTTGTTTTCTGTATATTTTCTGAAACACAACTGTCATTTTTTTCATTATTGCCGATAAATTTTTAATTTTCTCTAGATCGTGAACCAAAATTTGTCAAAGTTATAACAAAATGCTCAAGAACTGAAGATTGTTTATGAATTTTGCCTCGTATGGTTTAATAACGATAGTTGAACATTTCCTGTTATTAAAAGAAGTCTTTATTAATAATTAATTAAGTTTTTAACCTGTCTCAGTCTGATAAATTTTGGTTCATGATCTATAGCCACTTGTGTAATATAATTTTCTGTAATATGGATGTTTCCAAAAAGGTTGTCATGAGTAAATATTCATGTGTATGGTTGTGGTGCATCAGGTGACGTTTGCCTTCAGCCTGGCCCCTGGGGTGTGTGTGCAAGATCTGTCCCCATTGGCCATGAGCAACTACTGCCGGGAGCTGTTGGAGCTCGGAACGTGTGCTCGTCGATTGCAGCTTCTGACTGAGAGGGGGGTTCCGGGACATCCACGTACCAGGCTCATGGAGGTAGTGACACCATGGCTTTTATTGAATAAAAGAGCAAGGACTGGGTCTTTCAAGGTTTTTTTCTTTTCTCCCATTTGCTTATTCATTCCCTCTTCTCTTTCTTACTGGCAAATGGGACTCAGGGCAACAGCTGATGTCACCACAGGGCCTCTGACTGCGAGGTCCTGGGGTTTGAATCCCAGTGGTTGCAGGATTTTTCGGACCAAGAGGTGCCTCAGGACATCAACATGAAGGTGTCACTGCAGTGCGTCCGAGTCTAGGTTTGAGTCCCAACGATGGCAGGATTTTCGACACTACGTAGCTAGCCAGCTAGATCCAATGACTAGACGAGATTTCTAGCGTCCAGCTGCTCTGATCAGTAGTTTTCCATGGCTTCTATGTTCAATACCTGGTGAATGCTGAGTGCCAGAGCAGCATCCTTACAAGCAGGCTATGGGATATGAGCAATCTTTCCTTCCTCTTCCTAGTCTTATCCTCACCTCTTACTTGCACTCACTGACAATTACATGCACTACATTATCATTCGTGCTGGAAGGTACCAGTTGGGAGTGTAGAGCTTCTCGTGGTTGAAGCAGTACCTCGCTGAGGGGTGTAACTGGTCAGGGGGGTATACCCACAAGCTGATGTAGGTTGGCACCAAATCTCATAATCCAGCGGAGATCACTGTCACCTTATGCAATAAAAACATCCATTACACTTATGGGACTAATGGTCTTACAAATTGTTGCTCCCGAAATTACTAATCAATCACTCTCATATCTTCTCTTCTTCTGTTCTTTTCTCCATACCTTACCTTCTTTTCCTCTTCCTTTATTCTCCTCCATCTTTTCTCATCCACATTACCCCATCTTTTAAAGTAGATTAGCTTATTTCGTGGCCTTCATTCTTGGTTGGTAAAGAAAGTACAATTTTATTTTGATTCATCCCTATCCAGCACACTTGGTTTCATGAACATTTCATTTACTCTTCTTTAAAGCTAATAAAATTCATTTAGTAAAGTCTGTGTTTTGTTACTATAAAACCAACAAAAGAATATTGTTTGTCGAGCTATAAGAAAATAGTAGTACAATTACCTTTCTCAATTTTTCAAAATTTATTTATTTTAAATTTTAATATGGGATATTACATGAGAAATCCCACTGTTACAGTATCTATTTTTCAGGTTTACGTTTTAAGTGGGTTTCAATTGAGAAAGTTTTCTTGATTTCTATCAAACTGATAAAGTTTGAGTTGTTGTCATTGAAAACGGTGTTTGTGTTTCAGGCCCTCCGTGAGCATGTGAAGATGTACCTCCAGTTCCACTGGGGTGCAGCTCTGCTCATGCCACAGGGCACATCCTTATTGGCCCTGCAGTATTGGGCACAAGGTTTGCATCAGAAGACGGTGGCGATGGCACAGCTGTGTGGCGTGGCACCTCCTAGTGATTCGTGGAAGGGCCCTCGGAAACTACCGTCTGGCATAGCCCTAGTGTCATACATTTATGAAACACTCAGCCGGGAGACAAGACCAGATGTGTGCTGTATTCTATATTCTGCTCTGCGTGGTGTTTCACAAGTGTACTTCAGGTGAGTGAAATTTTACTCTGTTAAATGTTTCCTGCAATACCAAGTCTTTATCTGCAAAGTAAGAGATGTACTTGTTTTTATGATCTCCAAAAAGCAGATGCAAATTTAGTTGCTTTAGAGGAGAGTGAAAAATTATTGCAAATTGTGAAGGGTGGGCGTGAAATATTTACAAATTGTGAAAAATCAGACCTGCTTAAAGCAAGTAATAGTGCCTAAAATGAGCTGAAAGGATAGTTACTAACCATTTTAATTTTTTTGTTTTTTGTCCTACATTTGCCTAGGAGTAGTAATTCATCTTCTTAGCCATTTGGTTGTCCTTAGGTGGGTCTTATGGTGCCTAACTTCTTCTACTCTTCTGCATTGTGCCAAGTCCCCAGAGGTTTTTTCCTTCTTTCTTACAGTTGCCAATCCCAAAGTTTCTTTGCAAGTCTTGCTCTGCATCCTGTAATCTCTTTAAGTCTTTCATTTCGTATGTTCTCTCTTCTTCAGATGCCAGCAAATCTTCTAAGAAAGTGCATTTCCATGACCCTCAACTTTGTTCTCATTTGTTCTGAGAGTTGCTATATCTCAGCATCAACCAGTACAGCACTTTGTATTATTACTCTATGTATCGTTAGTTTTGTTCTTTTACTTATATTATTGTCCCTTAGGATAGAATTCAGAAAACCAATGAATTTTCTGCCCTATTTAATTTGTTCCAAAACCTCTGTCTCATAAAGTCTCTGTTTGGCAATTTTTACCCTAAATATTTTATTTCTTGTTTTCTTAATTTTGTTTCCTGTAACCATAGGTATGTATTCATTTTTACGATTTAATGCCCAGTTTATTGCTTTATCTAAATTGAGTGACATTCTCTACTTTGCATACTCGTCTCCAATTTTTATCAGCATAAATTCTGAATCATCTTGGTCACGATTACCTGGTCATCAGCGAACTGTAAAGTGTAGAGAATAGAGTACGTATCCAATAGTATTCTCATTTCTGCACAACTTCTTTTTGACTTTTTCTGTACCTCATTCCCATAGATTTTGAAAAGTGTTGATGAAATGCAGGATCCTTGCCTTAGGCCTTTAATTATTGGAAATGATTCTATCAAGTGCTTTCCTACATTCACTATTCCTGCTTCTTCTTAATATAATTCTTTCTTTAGAGCAATAAGTGTGTTATTCAAATTAAGGTGTTACAGGATCTGCCATAGTTTCTCTACTGGCACACTGTCATGTTCTTGTGCGATATCAAGGATCACCCTCTGACCGGGAGGTCCTGTGTTCAGATCTCAATGGTGGCAGTATTTTCGACACTAGCTTATCAGCTCGATCGAATTCAATCACTCTCTGGAGGAGAATTCTAGTGGCCAGTTGCTAAGATCAGTTTTCCATGGTTTCTCTGATCAGTACCAGGCAAATGCCTGAGCAGTACTCTAACAAGTGGGCCACGCACCACACAAGCTCTTTCCTATCTCTTCCTTGTCCTATACAGGTCCTCAACCCTTACACACACTTATATTAACTTGCACCTCACTACCGAGAGACTGGTCAGAAGCTTAGAGCTCGTCCCGGCTGGGGTGATGTCCTGCTGATTGGAGATACTTGGTTGAAGGAAACCCCACTAGCCAATGGAAGGAAGGTCAGCGCCAAATCTCGCCATACAGTGAGGGAAAGACCCCCCCCCCCCCGGGAGGTGGAAAAAAACATGCACTACACTTACAGGACTAATGACCGCAGTAGTTGACATGCTTGGAATTTGGAATTACTAACAATCAATTAATTTAGAAAGAAACCTGTTATTTCAATATGGAAAGGGAAGTATAAATTCTAAATAGTTCAACTATTTCGTTTTTGAAAAATAAAATAAAAAAGGGTTATATTTCTGATTATAAACGTTATTGTGGCTGTGCAGGTTCTTGGAGCAATGGATCTTTGGGGGGACCTTGTTTGATACGTGGGAGGAGTTCTTCGTTCAAGCAGTGGGCTCAGCAGATTTGCTGGCCAGCCGTAATCGCAAGTATTGGGCTCATGTTTTTCATATCGTGAAAGGAGCAGTTCCTGGATTTCTTCGTGGACTGGAAGATGATATTTTGTTGTGTGGGAAAACTGTTCATCTCTTGAAGTTGTGTTGCCCGAAGGTAAGATGTGCAGACCAATTTTATTTATGTATGTGCTTGTTTGAATACACAAAACTGTGACTATTTTACTTACGCAGTTTATCATTGACATAGCGAATGATGTATACCGCATCCTAAAATAGAGGAGACACTGTTTATGATTGGCTGGTAGGGAAATGAGGTAGAGAAATCAGATAGAAAAAGTAATAAACTTTTCGAGATGCACCGCCCTAATTGGGTCATTTTTAATTTTGTTGCTGCAATTTTGTAGAATTTGGTATTATATAGTTTACATTTTATCAATATATGTAGTGTAATAAAGAAACCAAAACAAGGGTGATGATCTTATCAATGATAAGAACAAAATTCTCAAAATATATACAGATCAAAGTGAAATGTTATGAAAATAATCATAAAATAATAATATATAATAATAAATTATAATTGTTCTAATTATATTTTATGTATTAACTAATAATTTAATAGAGAAAATTCAGATTTCTTTCACATTGAAAACTATTGGTGACATTGTTCTGGGTTTGCATTTGGAAAGACCTGATTTCCTTACTTTCTTTATTTTGCACAGGCAGCACTGTGTGTTGCATTGGAGAGTGGCCACCCGCCAGTACCCTGCTGCCTGCAGGGACGTGAATTGCGTCAGTTGTCATCAAAGTGTCGGCTCTTCGAACGGCGTGTCAGAGAGTTGGAACGAGCTGGAAGTAGTAGGGGCTCAGACAGTGGAATTGAGACAATGACAATATGGAGACGACACGGCCCCACGGAAGGGGAGTTGATGGAGCGACAGGAGGTGATTCGTCAAGCACGTGAAAGGCATATGCTAAGGATAAAGTGTACGTATTACTACTCTAGGGCAATTATTCAATAGTGTACGTATTACTATTCTAGGGCAATGATTCAATAGTTTTCACACGGTCAGAATGATTCGACATGACCTGTTGAAAGCAAGTTGTGGCTTTTGGGGCTCCACTAAATGTTGGCTGAATTAGAACAATTGCAGCACTTCTCAATACTGCTTGACATGTTAACAGAGTTCGTTGCTTGCCTTTGGTGGGGAGCAGTGGGGATGCAGTAGTGAGCGGAGTGACACATTCATTCCCTTCAAAATTTCTGTCTAAATGTTTTTGAGGTGCATTTGTCACAAATCTAACATGCATATAATGTTTCATCAAACACTGTATACATTCTCAGTCGGCACCCGCAGATATTTTGTTCTATTAGAGAAGTGTCGATAGTCAAACCGTTGATTAAATATTTATTTCTGCTATGCTTCTGGCTGTGATGCTTATTCTTTTGTTTTTAAAAAGTAATTTTTGTAATAAAAATGTGGAAATTTATACTATTAGAAAATGTGTAATTTCAGCCTACATAAGTACAAGTAAATGTACATTCTGGTTTTATTCATCTTACATACAGCATTTCCTTGAAAGTGTACACGAATTTGCCCTGGTTTTAGTGATGAGGTATGCAGTGAGGACATGACTGAGATCCTAAGTTATATGGCCTCTCCATTTTGTTGTACCTAGTGCTTTCAATAATGCTGTGAGACCACAGAATTTTCATACCAATTACAGAATCATAATTTGAAGGAAAAATTATTCCTCCATAATTATTGAAAAATACATTATTGTCATTATTGGTGATGAAAAAGGATCTTGGATTTTGCTTCTATTAATTATAGCCAACTTAGAGATTTTTATGATCCTCAAACTGTGAAAGATTTCATACCCTTTTTGCTAGCTACTTTGTGCTTTTGTCACTTTCAAAATCGCTGGAAGTCTTCCATAATACATTGTCCTTGAGCTCGTCCATCTCATTTGAAATGACGCCAGCTAAAACTTTTTGCGACCAGTTAACCTTAAATAGATGCCCAAGCATCTAGAATTGATTGACACATGTCGGTCACCATGGCCTTTTTGTGACAGCCGGTTGAAGTTGTGTCTTCATTTTGTTGTGCCCGTGTAAGGTAAAAACATTGCACTTGCTCTTTGAGTGGCGGGTTAATAAATACATCTATAGGTTGCAGCATTCCAGTCATGCCTCGTGGTATCACTACTAAAACCCCACTGTTCTTCAGTTTACTTCTTAAACTCTCGGTTGTGTGAGCCCAGAAATGGTCTAAAACTAGCATGAACCGTTGTTTTAGCTGTGCACCAGGCCGCTGCAACCCCACATTCTTTATCCAGACCAGAACAAGGTTTTCATCCTTCCAGCCATCCATCCATTTTCCTAGACACACACTATTATCCCTGGTGAAACCTTCGCCTTCATAGCTTTCCTTCTAAAAACCCCATATGGTGGTAACTTATGCCTGTCTGCAGTCATCGCCAGCACAATGATACAGCATTGCTTCTCTGCTTTTGTAGTTCTTATGAGAACACTTCATTCCCTCACCTGCAACCACACCAACTCCTAGCTCGCTGGAAATATGGTAAAGGGGATACAGAGTGTCCTGGCGATTTTGCTGCGCTTGAACTGCAGCATCTCTCGGGAAACAGCAAATCGAGTTATCCGAACGAATTCGCCTTGAAATACACATTTATTACAATTGATATTTTCCAATGCAGTTTTGTCTGGAATCCAATGCCTCACATTCTTCTCATCCATGTTGTAGTTCTTTCTGGCTGCTGGATTCCCATATCGTTCAGCAAACTTCACTGCAGCTTATAAACAAGATTTTTTTTTTCTTCAAATTATTGTGTCAAAGATTGTTAGTGAGGCCTATACACACAGCCCATACACGAGCAAATGAGGTATTTATTATCCTTATGAAAACCAGTTGCCAAGATCAAGAGGTCTCGATATAAAATGTGACGTCATCCTCTCTTACTCTCTCCACATTTCATCATTGCAATCAGAAGAAATTAGAGAACTGCTCGTTGATGAATCTATATTATCACTCTGAGTGTCATTGCCTGAACTGACACTAAAGTTAGAAATGGCCCTCATCTGTTTTAACAGGTTGTGAAGCAGACTCACTCCACTCAATTTGGGAAAGTCTCATGTAACATGTGAGGTGTGACCCAACCATTGCTTTCCAAACAAACACACTTGCAAATAATCAAAACATTCATTTATTAATAAAAAATTGAGCAAATTGCGTAATATATGTTTTGATGAAAATATTAATTTTTATGTTTGTTTTGAATATCTTTGTTAGCCTAAAAAATAAAAAAACAGTACTGCAACTTACTGGCAATGTAGGATATATGGTGAGCCCACTTCAACATATAATCGGTATAGCTACCTAAATATTTAGTAGAGGATACTCTTTTAATCTCAGGACAATCACAATTGTTTATATCACAATTTATTGCAAGAAACACTTGTCGGGTATATTATCTACATAACTTCGAAATGTTATGAATACAGTTTTATTCACAATAAAGATAAGAAAATTATAGTAAAGCCGTTTGGTCAAAATTTTATTTATTTATTTTATGGCGACCATATGGCTAGGTGATATGCTATTTGGTGAGTGGAAACTATGGGACACCACTTGAATTTCCACTAAAATTTTAACACTCAAAATTAAAAGGGGGGAAATGTGTATTTACCCAAAAATCCAATGTCTACTTATAACATTATTTTGATTTATTCTCCCTTCAAGTGCTGTATAGTTACATGAGAGTTTGCACATGGTGCCAAGTCAAATCGGCTATGAGCAACCACCATGTGCTGAATAGTTTTGAGGCACAGTGCGGACTGAAGCAACCTGTTGACAGCATTGAAAGAAGCAGGGTATTTGTTCAATAGTGAAGGAAAGTGAAGGGAATGGGTTTCTTTATACACATGGCAGCAGTATGAAAAGCGACTTACTTTTCTCACCTACAATGACTGCAATACTATTTTCATAAGCATTGCTATGAATCGTATACCTCTTTTATTTAGTCTTTTCAAACCAGGCTTTCAACTAGCTCTGTTGAAGTTAAAAATTTATCCTTGTTTTAAGTGCTTAATAGTTTTATATATTTTATGTAAATACATTTTATATAGATGTATCGGGAGGGGGGGGGTGTCATTATCTCATACATTGAAGGATTCTTCCCAGTTCTTCTAAAGTACAATACCATTAATCATGTTGGCGCAATGTTAGAAAATATTCCAAAATGTTATAAAAGGGGATAGATAAGATGTACTCTTCATAGCCAAAAGGCTACTATGTGCCCTTTACTAATTTTACCCTGCTTCTGTGGTTGTGGATGTTGAACCCAGATATAATGGCCTATTGTAGGACTTTATAAGAGAAATAACTATGCTTCTTTTGTCTGTGTGCTCGGCAAATGCCAATTCTACTCTAGCAACATTTCAGGGTCTTTGTTCTGAACATGCGTGTTGCAATGGAATGTCTTTGCCAGTGGAACAGGAGGCCAGGCGACAGGCGGTGGTGCAGAAGCAGCGCCAGTGGCGAGCCGAGCTGCAGCAGCAAGTGCAGGAAACACAGGAGCGCCGTGAGGAGGAGCAGCGCTTCGAACGGGAGCAAGAGCTGCGAGTGTTGGAAGTGAACCGGCAGCGCCAGTTGGAAGATGAACAGCGCAAGGAGGAGGAGAAGTGAGTTGTCCTTTTGGATTTTGGCAACAGGCATCGTTTACGTATGCGTCTCTAGGCTATTGGGCAAGGAATTTGGACCGTTTGGAACGTTGGCTAATGATTGGCACGTGTTGGCCCAGAGGTGGGCCACATGAGGCCAAATTGATCAAAGCATATTTATTTTGGAGAAAATTCGTACAAATAATCGAAGCACTAGTGTAGTTCATCGATGGACCATCATTTTAAATTTTGTTTTGTTAATACACTGACACACTCGCTCACTCTAATATATCAAAAAGAGTATAAACATTAACTATTATTAATATATATTTATAACTACATAGTAATTCAGGATGAAACCGCTCTGAGTATAATAATGTTGGTTATACACACATACACCTAATAAAGTGCCACAATTACTTATTGAATTATGAATTCTTTAAAATCTGTAGTATTACAGACTCTTACTTCTTTCCGAGTAACATTTAATACTAGAACCACTAGATCAAGTTGTATACTTACAACCACTAAAGCTAACATTTTCACTGCTACTTATATTCCTGAAACAAAACATTGTAGAAGGCTTTTACCTTAAACCTTTCTAATTCTGACTTGTGATAATCATAAAAAGTTTTTAAGCAAGAAATTACAAAGAGTGAGATGTACATAAATAATAAATAACTAGATTAATTAATTAATCTATTATTATTTAAGTTTATTAGCACTTGTTATTTTACTGTTACATAGTGTACTTTTATGTTTACTCTTGCTCATCTGCTTGCTAACTCAATAACTTCAGATTTAATACTGCTACAGTATTCTTATATTTACACATGATATAAGATACAAACTTATCCACCTATATTGTGCAGAGTCCGTACACTTTTCCTACCTCTCATTTGACACTCTAAATCTGCCCCAGGTACTTGAGATTAGTGGAAAGTTATTGGTTTTCAACCATTTTGATCTAGTGCTCTTTATATCAAAATGAAAAAACCTTACGATTTCACGGAACCCTTTTCTACCTTTAGTTTCAGTGAAGATCAGAGATTCTCATATTTTAACCACAGTTCATTTACTTCCATGTTTCTGGCTCCTGGGCCACTGCATATGTGTAGTAAAGAAATAATTGTAGCAGAGTCCCTAATCTCTGTTTTCATGCAGTGTTTCTAATCACTTCTCTTTCTGTACAGTTCTGTATGTGATTCAGGATTTGTCTGTAAATAGGTACCATGATACATTTCGGTAACTTGATACACTGTCTTTAGAAAACATTACCCATGGAATTTACAGTAGGACCTTCTTTATCTTAAAAAATATTCTGCGAACCTAACCTACCAAGAGGACTAATATCAAAGTTGACTACAGTCCACACATATTTGCCTAGGAATGTTGAGCCTGCTTAGCAGTCAAGATGAGCTGCATGGCAGTTATAAGTATAAGTACTGATAATTCTGAAACTAATTAGTTGAATATAACATTACTGAGGCTATTTGATATTCGAACTAACTAACTTAGGAAAAGTCATAAACACACAATAAAGTAATATGATAATTGTTGGTGAAATAGTGTGTTAAAAATGAAAAAGCGATCAACATGACCACTTAGTGGTTTATAGTGTTAATTTCATTGTGTTAGAATAATGATTATTGCAGGTGTATGATAATAATAATTTTTGCCTACTCTTAATTTAACTTTAGACAAACTTAAATGATTGTGTTGAGCATGAGTGTTTGTTATTATTTCAATTTATAAATTATAGTGAGCACAAATAATTGGGAGAAACTGGTCTATAAAACTCGTTCTTATTTATCAATTAAGAATTGATTAGTTAACATGATCAAAGAGCTATTGCTATTTCAATGCAAGAAGATTTTGTGTTGCAGGATAATAGTGTTTTCTTTGTTCTTTCAGACAACGCATGATTGAACACTACGAAGAATTATCCCTGGTTGCCATGAAGCGCAAGCAACTTGCTGATTGGAGGCTGGAGAGACTGAATCTTAGAGATCGTAGAGAGGAGTTCATTTTGAACGATCGCAGAGAATGGCGTGCAGCTGCGGCAGAGCTGAATCTCAAGAACATAGAACGCTCTATTGCTGGATCACCATTGACCATCATAGAGGAAGACAGCGATGCTGCTAAACATGAAACTCCTTCAGAAAACCATGCCCCGTTATTGAACCTTCCGTTGGTAACCACAACCATTGACAATGATGCCACAGGTGTGGGAATAGACAATGCAACAATGAATCAGGGATCACCAAATAACAACAATGTAGACAATGTGACTGACAGAGGTGATATCAATGAGAACCTGAATGGATTAGCATTGAACATTCGAGAATCAAGGTTCACCAATGCAAATTCAAATCTGTTGGGTTCAAGTATTGAAGATGCAGCCTTGGGAAATGCCCTTATTCCTTTAGGTAATAGAAATGAAAATATTACATCTGGTAATGCTGCTGGAGGATTTGATAATTTCACTGCTGCTGCAACTATTAAAGCTAAAGTGAGTACCTTACGGATATGAGTATTCATTAGGTATCAAATGTTTGTGTGGGATTGAATGTGTGTGGTCTCTGGTGATTGTTGTATTATAGGGTGGCCACTTTCTGGAAAACTGGGAAAAATCAGGGAGTTTCATTGCTTTAGAAAAATCAGAGAATTTCTAGAATTGTTAAATGTCAGGGTAATTTTTGAGAGGATTGGAAAACCAGATATTATTCCTTAATAACATTAGTACAGTGTTAGTTTTTGCTTATCTTTTACTTGTTGCAAAAATATTGTTAATTTGTACTGTTACAGTAAAAAAGAATATTGAGCAATTAGCACCAGTGTAGCTTTAATACATTTGTTAAGTTGTGTAAAATTTCAAATCTTATCTGGAAAACTATAAAAATGCAGTAAAGAACCAGAAAAAGGCTTGGAAATTTGTTCCAGGAAATGAATGGCCACCCTATATTATCTAGAATATACTCTTTCTAGTACCACAAATCAGTGCTTTAGGCGTTTTAGTAATGTGTTGTAGCATACTGAGGAAGAGGTACTTGCATACTTTTGTTTTTTAATTTGTAATTTTCTTCGGGTCAATATATTGGAGTATGTTGAGTATGAGTATGACCCAACATATTGGGTCAAGAATGATTATATTTGGTACTTTTTTTGACATTTGTTGATCAAATTTTGCAATATAAAGAAAATTTAATTTAAAAACTCTATCTTGCCTAAGTTGTTTAATTATTGTTAATGTGTCTGATCATAACTGCATGTTAGGATTTTATAGTATAAGTAAAAGTAGAAATTTATCACAGAGAATGACACAAACAACAAAACTTGTTCTCTTAGAAATGATTTTCTGATAGTGGTTGGTAGTTATTTTTTAAGCCTGAGAAAGGCGTAATAGGCAATTCTTAAAAATCCTTTTATTGTTCTTTTAATTTACTGTGCCTCTCTGGCTTGAGGAATCTTGTGTAGGAGTAATTTTTTACTTTTTTTTTTTTTTTTATTTGCAATAACCTGCAACTCATTTCTGATATTTCCACTGTCTTTGTTGTTTGGTTTTTCAAATTGAATTTTATTTGCTTGGAGTTTATTCAATTGGTAAATGTAATAATAGAAGTAAACATAGCAGTAGTAATGTAATAATAATACTTTTTATATTGTGCTGTTTCAGGTTCAGGATCAAGAGTTTGGCATTTGCCCTCAGCGAAGAAAGGATGACACCAAAGACAAAGGATCTGTGGTGGGAGAACGTGTTCTGTCCGCTGCTGAAAGGAATCGATTAAAAGTGATGGAACAAGAATTTGGAATTACGCAACCGAGAAGAGAAAGACCAAAGAGCGTGCCTTTTAAATCTTCCATTCGTGACAGTGTTAGTGATCGTGATAGTTATAGCCAAGCACAAGAGACAGTAAGACAGAACTTCCAGGATACAGTTGCCCAGAGGAGAACAAATCATTGGAACATGCTACATGGAGGACTGAATATTATAACAGGGGTCATGAATATGTTTCCTGTGCAGACAGTTCCGGAAACAGAGCAATTGCAAGTTACAGAAGTTGATTCAATGTCCATGAAGGATACACCAAGTGACGATGGAGTCCAGGTGGTTCTTCAGTCACCGGCTAGTGTCGATGCTCCAATGTCGAAGTCTGAATCAAGCGGAAGTGTCAATCATGTGTACAAAAGTGCATCTGGGCTGAGTTCGAAGACAAGTAGTAGTTATAACATTACTTCCATTGCCAGTAGTGTATCATTTGACATGGGATCTGGGAAGTTTTCTCTCAATACACCTACATCCACTGATGATGGCTCTGTGGATACTTTCAAAGTAAGTTTTTCTGGTTATTTTGTTATGCTATTTGTTGTAACAGCAATGAGCTGGTCATTGGTAGTACATTTATCTTAATCTTTTGGTACTAACCCATTTAAATTACCATTTCTAAATGTATATACATGATTTCATTATTCTTGGAAAGTTTTTTTTCTTCCAGTCATATAATATACAGCATAATGATAGTAATTTTATTGTCATATTATTATCATGTTTTTGTGTTAAATGCAAATGATTATTGTGTATGCACAAGTGTGTTCAGGGTGGCCACTTTCTGGAAAACTGGGAAAATTCAGGGAATTTCATTGCTCTGGAAAAGTTGGGGAAGAATCGAGGAATTAGTGGAAGAATCGTTGGAAGTCAGGGAAAATTTTTGAGAGGGTTATAAAACCAAATATTATTCCTAAAAATAGTACAGCATTGTATTTTGCATTTGTTGAGATTTGTTGTGTGTTTCTTTGTTGTTTCTTTATGGCAAAGTCAGAGAGCTTACAAATTACATTCAGGCTTGTGTTAATATTTTCTAAAAATACTCTACAAATCTTATCTGTGAAAAATGTTTAAAATGCTGTGGAAAACAAGGAAAAGTCAGGGTAATTGGTTTCAGGAAATCAAATAAATTATGATTAGCGTATTTTATTCATTTTAGTTTCATTGTGATTTGTCTTTGACAGACCTGTGCTGGCACTGGAGGTGGCTATAGCTCAGAAAGCAGTGAGCGTCATAGGGATTTAGCTAACCCTGGCATTGCCTACTGGAGGAGCCATCGACTGACTAAGGATGAAGGGGATTGTGGTACTGCTGAAGATCTGCAATCTGAGCACTCTGGAGATGAAGAAGAGGTATTTTTATTGATTCCTAATAAACCCTATGTAACACTACTATGATCTGCACAAAATACTGAAAAGTAAATAAATATCATATTTACCCGAATATAAGACAAGGTAGTTTCCTAAATATCTCGTTCGAAAAATTGGAGGTCATCTTATATTCGCAGTTTAAGCCTATATGGTTAGGACTTTTGTTTTTATGTTGGCTTTCCACGTCGTGAAACTCGTTAATGATAACGTAACAATTTGCTGCAAAGGCGATAAAAATATTGCTTTACCTAATAACTCATAATTTATTCACGGTTATATTCTCGGTATCAACCACGAATTTGCCAGGCAATTCTCACTGATATTTTTGAATAGCTGTAAAACAGAGATATCAAAAAAAGAAGTAAAAAATAAAAGAAAAAGGCAGAGTACCAAGTGAAAATTTGCTGGGCGATTCAGACTGATATTTTTCAATGGGCTGGGAAAGAGAGAATCTCAAAAAAATGGCATTGCAATTAGTGAAAATGAATAAAAATCGTTGTCGATCAGGATCGTTGGGGCATGTGGACTCTCGGTTTGATACTCAGTGAGTTCCAATACGCATTTAGCACTAGAAGGATATGAAAAAAAAAAATCATAATGATGAAAGTATGTACGCATTCTACATCCAACCACTGAGAAGAAGAAGAATAAACAAATATTATCTACGTAAAAGCTTTCCAAAATTGGAAACTGGCCACCTTCTCCCATGTTTCCCATGAAATAGAGATTTACAAGTTTGCAATTTACAACTTGATTACATGAACATTAACAACATGAATTTCAAATATATTATGTTGAAAAAGTGAAGGAACTGTTAGTGAATCAGAGGCCTCAAAAAGAGCAGGATACGAAGAAAATTTAGTGACAAAGAAGGGAATGTTATTAGGTGATGTCATTTGAATGACTAAGCAAATTCAATGTGCAAAACTTTCAGAGGAGCTTAAAAAGTCGAGAGCACATTGCCGTATGGGGAGGAGAACATTGTACAAAAAGTAAAATTTAAGAGAGTAGTAACAAACCCATGTTCATGATTTTAAGGAAGAAAAAATACTGTTAGTTTAGGCATACATTTTACAATTCTCTTCCACAAACTTCCTAGTCAATTTGCAATTTTATTTTGACAAAATAGTAAGAATTAGTTAAAAATTTAAAATATTCTCAGGAGACCTCTTCAAAATTATGGGGCTCTCTCATATTCAGTCGACTTATATTCGGGTAGATATAGCACATAACTGGAAAGCAATAAGAAAGTAAATGGCATTCCACGAAAGTTAACTTTATGTTAAGGAAATATTTGAGTTAACCAAATAAATATCTTTGAATTAAAATCCAATGATATGTTACTCAAAACTAAGCTACTCAAAAATATAGTAAATATATCAGTAAATGTGTCATTGATCTTTAAGAAGATACTATTTTCAGGGGCTGAAGTAAAAAAACTTTTTCCTTGCCTTGGAGTTATTTTCACATTTCTCAACATACAGCAAATCCTCCCTGATCAGAGAAGACTTAAATATGTGTAAACAAATTTCATTGAAATTGTGAAAATGGCTCAAAAATGCCATTTCCAGAGCAAAGCTTGAAAGAAGAAGATTCACATGATTGAAATGTCACCAAACTTGTCACTGATTGGTTAAAAGCCCCACTATTCTCATGCAGGGCCCTTCATGATAACCTTTTAATTTATGGCAGTAATCGTTGTCGTTTGTGCCAATAGCTGTTGCTTTGATGAAACTGCGGAATTGTGCTTGGTAACCAAGCCCAACGGTACAACAGAGATCTGTCAGTAACAATCCAATTCTGACAACTGTTAGTTAAACAAACATAATAGTGCTCTAAACATATACATGTTATAGTTTAAGCCCTTAAAATATGTTTTTAGGACTGAAAAATTCCTCTCTATTTCTATTTATTTATTTATTTATTCTGAGTGTTTGTATAACAATATAATATAATAAAGATTATTTGTGAGGAAACGTGATCAAGTACTTTAAAAATGAACAATTCTTTTTTTGTTGTAGGTCTCAAGTGATACATCAGATGCTGTTGATTACACAGATTTCACTTCTGTTAATGTGGCACTTCAGAAGTCGGTTGCTATTCCACTTCATATGCAGCTGCGTCTTGCCAATGAGGCAGTACTGAAATATTTCTTCCAGGATCTCAACCTATATGGTCACTTTCGTAGCATGAGAAGCTTTTTCTTCCTAATGGACGGGGAGTACAGACACACTGTGACAAACTCACTTTTTAAGAAAATGACCACGGTGCGGCAACCTAGTCATCTTCTGAACTATGTGGTGTTGAATGATGTATTGCAAATGGCTTTGGATACATCGTCAAGTGGAGGAGAAGAGAATGCCAAAAGGATTAGTTTTAAGGTAAAAGCAGGGTAAAAACGTCATGTTCTCAGTGTCATGGAGTAATATCACCATGAAAATTGGTATCCCTCAGTTTCTTAGAATATTAATTGTGATAAAAGGAGATCTGACCCAGCCCAAATAATGATCACATGTGCGTACTAGACGTAAGTAGGTAAAAGAGACTTCTTGCCTCATGAGAACTTCAGGCAGCACTATTTTCAATGTGTGTGTTTTCCATGATACTGTAGGATATTGGAAGGTACCATGTAGTATAGAGGGGTACTTTCAGAGAGTATTTAGGGTATTACCAGACAATTTGATTAAGAACCCAGAGCCAGAGAAATGTGTTCTACAGTACCTTCATTATCTGTCTTCCTAGTTTTTTGTGTTTGTTAGGTTACCATATGTTTTTATTGAATTTAATGGACTGAAGGTGATAATTTTTATTTTATTTTGTTTTTCAGATAATTTGCATTATTTTTAGTGGTTGTGTTTTATTTGCCTAATTTCTGTTGTTTTTTATTCAGTTATTATTTGCCTTTAAGTAGGTTTCTCTTGTGTTTGTATGGTATTTAAGCCTAAATGACTTTGTTCTTTATTTGAGTGACATGAAGAAGAAAGTGATAAAATGACAATTTTTCTGTAACAAATTTTCCTGCTTATGACTAGGGGGTAGATTTTGATAGACCTAAAACGTTGCCAAAAATGATCAATAAAATGCTCTTAAAATGCCTGAAAATACCCTATATCAAAGAAAAATGACTTCAAAAATTTTTATCAAAACCACTTGAGATGAACAACTCAAGCTGATGGATATGTTACTGATGTAATAGAGTCTTCTTCCTTTTGTTCAAGTGCACTCAGCCTGCAAACTTTTGGTTTGAACTGTACTTTAAAAGAAAATCTCTGCCTTTTTTCATCGCAAAATTGGCCAAGTTGACAATGGTGCCTATAGGCTAGACAAGAACCTTAGATTACATAGTACTCTCAACGGCTGTCATTTCAATACATGAGTGAAGAAATTTAGTAGGCTTCTTAGGAATTCTGTGGTGAACATTTCTTACACCTTGTAAATATTGTTTGAAGCAAGTACCATTAAAATGATATTAAAACCGATGAAATCAGTGAAAATGCATTAAAAATTACGTAAAAAGGTAAAACATGACTTATTAGTCAAAATCAACGAAAATGAAAAAAAGTGACTAGTAAAAATGGGTCATTTCATTTTGTCATAACATGAAATGAATTTCTATTCTAAGAAGCATTGTTCTGAAGTAAAAAGAAAAAAAAGATGACATTGTATTAAAATTCGCCCTCTACTTATGATTTTCGGCCTTTTGAAAAATATGTCAATGAAATTCCACTAAACATTTTTTTAAATGTTCGGGTGCACGTCTCCTGCTTGCAGGTGAGCTCTACCCCTGACCACTTCCAGCTGACGTCGACAGGGGTACTGGAGTGTCTGAGCTTACATTATCGCACGGAGTGGCCGCTGAACATACTGTTGACGGAGGAGTGCCTTCTCAAGTACAACATCATCTTCACGTTCCACCTGAAGGTGTGCCTGGTGTGGTGGAGACTGATGCAATGCTTTCACAGATCGAAAGGAGCTACATGTGAGTCAGCAAATGAAATTCTGGATTTCACAGGTCAATTCAATTGAGTTATGCCTTATTTTACTTGACTCAGACCATCACTCTTGCTCTTCCACTAGACCATGCAAATTTAAATTTCACCATGCTTCTTTTGCCATCTGGCAGTGAAAGAAGAAATCACCTGGTCAGGAAACAGATAATTAGAATTTGGCTCAGAGGCTTCTTTTAGGCTTAAGTGTCTTTTACATGCAGTAAATCAACATGGGACCACCAGGTTTACTTTCTCTCTAAAGGAAGGTGTACAAAAGATATTTTTCATCCTTAAAAATTCTTGACTGTAATCGTTTTTGAACTGCAAAACTTGGATATAACAGTCTGATATGTGGTTACACTATATCCAAGCCTCCCTTTCTTCGATCTTCCTTTGAAACCTGTAATTGAAGCAAATGCCCAATCAGCAGGACAGGAAGCAGCTTTAACAAAACTGGGATTTTCAATTGAGCATGAAAAATCAAGCCTCCTATATCGTGTATCAGGGTATGAATTATGAGAAAGTGGCTGAATAGCATAGGATAATTAATTTACTTAAACTAGCCATATTTTGTTTCTAATGGAACAACAGGATACAGAACAGCCTTTTAGTCTTCCTTTTTCTCCCATTCCCCATGTCATCTATGACCCTGTTGATAAAACTTGTAAGTTTTTATGAAATAATGTGATTTTTCTTACAAATACAGTGTTAAGTTTGTTTTAAAGGGTTATTTGGGGGGAAAAGACACTTTAATGCAAATGTGCATCTGTACTTACAATGGGAACACCTTGCGTGAAGTTGTTTGTTTGAGGTGTTCCAAGTGGTCCAATGGGACCCCAGATTTAAATTTCTAAGCTTTTATTTGTGAGGGAAGTTTGAAACTAAGCCACTGTGAGACGATTGTACTTTCGAAGAAATATATTAAGGCAGTTCAAGGTTATTTCCTCGTAGGTTGTGTCCCCATTGTGACTCAAAGCCTGACCTCCCCTCTTTCCTTTGTCCCAATAACAGTAGTCCAATGTTCATATAGCCCAAAGTAGCCTCAAAAAATATTTAAGAGCAGAAAGGAGCAAGGACAGTGATATATACAAAGAAATTAGTACTTATTTTTTACATTAATAATAGAATGAATTCGTTTTCCTCTTTAATAGATGATCATGAAAAAAAAATTCAGGCAAGAGGTACTTCAATGAGTACACAATTGTCAAAGAGAGTCACAAGTAATTTCAGAAGTTCGGTTCGGAAGAAGAATTTCGGTCTATCGTGATTTTTGGGGTCAACACATCCTCAATAGAGACTTTGTACAAAGGAAGTTTTGCAGTTGTAAAATGTTATCTGTGTTTAAAAGTCAGGTTCTCTCCAAGTTTTCATTATTGTTATTCTTTTTATATTATTGTACTATTGTTTTGTTTCTTTAGGTCAAAATCGATTGGTTTCTTGTGTAAGGTGAAGGATGATCCATTAGGACTTGGTTGTGATTATATTTATATTTGCTTCATAAAATAAGAACAAACCTGAGTCTCAAAATACCCGGAAATAAAAATTTTAAACCGTTTCCAAATTTATTTTTTAACAGTAGCGTAATAAAATAAAAAGAATAACAATGTCAATAATAAAAATCTGAACACAATCTATCTTTGAAATGTACTGTAAGAGACAGGCAAATAATTGATATCACTGTTTGACCGTCTTAAACACAAGTAAAACTATTAAGCTCTTCAGCATTTTAAGCACTAAAAAACCTAAATAAGTCATCAGAAAGGCATTAAAAATATTAAAAATTATGCTCTGAAATAGCCATTCCAAAATTTTATTTTCATAAATTCATAAGTATTGATGTTGTACTGCAACACTGTTTTATCATGAAGGCAACATGTGTTAATTTAAACATATTTCACAAGAAACATGTGCATTTTTCAAAACTAAATAAGCTATATAAATCAACAAACATTTTTGACTCGGAATGGTGTAAGGTTCGCTCCTATATCAGCTGAAACATTGTGTTCAGTATCAGTATCATCTACCTGTTGTGTGTGTTGAAAGTCTGGATTATCACCAGTAACCTTCTCACACTTTTTTGAAACTGTTTTGATTGTCTTGAGCATTCTGATTTTTCACAACACCTAGTAAATTCTTATTGTTTCTAAGAAGAGAAACCATTGAGGTGTTAAAGGAGAAGCAGATGCAGTCTCCCACAAGTGCTGTTTTGATGTCTGGCAAGGAAATGCCCTCAGGTGAACAAACATAAATGCAATTGTTAGTGAGAGCCCATGATTTGGCGCAGTGCAGAGAGACTTTCCTGGCGATCATTAGAAAAATGCAGTCCTTTCAAATGTCTGCAATAATTACAAAATTACAATTTTAAAATTACAAGACACAGCACAAATCCTCTTTAGTGCATCATTATTATGGCGGGTAAATTGCCCCCAACTATATTTATTTTTAATTATTTATTAATACAATTTTTTGGGGGGGAGTGTTACATTTCTCTTAAAAATTAAATAAATTTGTTGTAAAATAAAGAAAAAATTTTAAAACTTACAATTGGGAAAGCATGTCACCTCAAAACTGAAATTAGGTGAAGTGTCACTACAATTGGAATTTAATGTAACAAAAGAGCTAAATAGGCACTTTCCAGCATCACACAAGACAATAGGCAGACAGAGACAAAATTATCTCTGCTGTTCATAACACTGATACAATGTTATGATCTTAGATTGCCCTTCTTTCGACATCAAATTAAGTAAAGGCAGCTCACTAATACTCCATTCACAATATTAGTAAGAATTTTATTTGCCTAATTAGGCGCTTCATGTATTTTGTTACTCAAATCACTTATTGCTAATGCAAGAGTATTAACATCACATACTCCACTAACAATATCCACCATTCATCCTTCATTTGAAGGGAAAAAAATTGTAACATTTGACAGTTGTGTTCATTGGACATCAAGATGCATGTTGGAGAGTTAATCAGCAGGTGCCTTGTGTGTTTCAGTCAAAGACTTCGGTCATGGCTCATGGCAGTACCGCACAGTGCAGTTGTGGCGGCACGAGATGACCCACTTTGTGAGCTCCTTCCAAAACTACATTATGGGCACTGCTGTGCAGAGCTGCTGGGTGAACTTCGAGCAAGAGCTGAATCAGGTGCAGACACTGGACAATCTGTATCTGAAGCATGCAGGATATGTGAAGAGTATTCTCTTTAGGTAGGTTCCATAGTAAATAGTTTGAAGTTTTGCTGGTAGTAACATTCCATTCTCTGATCTATGTTTTATTCCTCAGTTTAACCCAGGTTTATATCTTGCATTCCCTTCTTTACTACAATCGAATTTTCTTCCTTGATCACTGATGTTTAGCTCATGTTTCCTACAACTTTAACAACCGTTAACTTGAAATTCTCATCTTTTTAAGGTGGTTCCACACATTGATTTTTTGGTGAGTAGCAAGCAACTGGTCACCCTACCCCCGTGACGGTCTCTAGGACAATGGGTCAAAGGGAGCAAACATTTGCTGAAAGCGTCAGCTGTTTGAGAGTGGGCAAGCAGTAGCTTGCTGCTTGGTGAATGTCAAATGTGTGGAGTTGCCTTAATGTCTTAGTGATCAAGTTGGGAACGGTGAACGTGTAATCTCAACAAAATATTAGGCATGGTTTCCATTCATTTTCACGTTGAATGTCATGTGTACTTTTCATTTGAGATTGTCTTAATACTGGCTCAATGAAAATATTTATGTGAATCACACAGCATATCTGCAGAGAATACCAAGAAAACGTCCAGCGATATAAGTAGATGTCATAAATTCACAAGGTTTATTATTTCCTTTGGTACTTATTGTTACATCAGTGTACAAATTTCTGGACATTAAAAAGCGACATAAAACTATTATTTACAAACAACTAATTGTAATTTGTAAATGTAAGCTGACCCAACATTTTTTTAAAGAGGTTACCTGCTCTTCTATATAGATATATGATGTATACTAAATTTATGCTCTGCAAAAGTTATCGTTAAATTATTTATTGCAGGTGTTTATTGTACAACAAGTGCCGCCCTATTCATAATTTAATGATGCAAGCTTTCGACACCATCCTGAAATTTATTGCTCAACTGGAGGCATCACAGTGGCACCAATGTGGAGAAGACCAAACAACCCTGGAACATCCTGACTTTCGAACACTCTCTCTGATCCACGATTCTTTTCGATTTTACACTGGTTGCACATACAAGTCATTGGAGAAAATGATTCGGAAAGGTTACCAACCACAGTTTAAGGAGCTTCTGGAAATGTTAAATGCCAATGGATATTACACAGATTTAGAATCCGGTTGAGTTGACGAATCCAAAAATTGGGCTTATTGAATTGATTATGAAGTTTGTTAAAATGAGTGCTTGTTAGAAAATGAGTTGTGAGCACTACTTTTTTTCTTTACTAATTTGATTCTTAGCAATGTATCTTAATAACAACCAAATGATGGTTCACAAAGCAAGATTTGCTTGAGATTTTAAAAGATTTCTTTCTCATAAACAAACATTTCCCAATAAGCAAAGAGATTTAAGTTTTATGCACATTTTAGTTTGAGGTTGAAGCTTAGTACCAGTAACCATTATTTTCCCTTGTTTCTGGTTCAAAATATGTGCCATACTGGTGAACAAATGGGATTTTTCATTTAGTAATTATAGTTGCTAAAACTTTTGTGATATAGCAATACAACTTTAGCAACTCACACTGATAGTTGTTGAAATCTAAACAAGACGTAGATGCATTTTTTGACAATTTCATATGTGTTCATGTGTCTTCCTTTGCAGTGTTGAGATCTTTGGAATCATGCCATAACGCTTAAATATTGTGTATCATTCCTTAAAAGTTTTATGTTCTGATGATAGCCAGAGATCTGCTGTGGAGATTTCCAATCCTGTTGATAACCAGGGGTTTAGTGTTTGTGTACCACAGTTATTGTGTGCTTTCTAACATGGATGTAAAACATCAAGAGGTGTGATGTTAATGCTTTTTAAGAATTTTATATTCTGAGAAAACAAAACAATGTATTGTTATTTAATGTCCCACCTGATAATGGTAATAATTATTATATTAAACTATTGAAGTATGATTCCTTTTTATCCAAACAGTTTTATCATGTTTTGTACATATATAAATATACAGAAGTTATTTATTTCTTTATGTAAATATTTGTTGAGTTGTGCCATGCAAAAATTATTATTTCAAGTTTTTTATGTTGTTAATAAAGCACAAAACGTAAGAATATGATTGTTTTGTATGCTTGGAGCATTCACCTTTCCCCATTAAAAAAAATATTTATTTACAGGATGTTTAGTAACTTTTGGGAAGCCTAATTTTAAAATGGTAAGGATCCAAAGTTGAAAAATGCTTTGTGCTCATTCTTTTGTTTGATTCTATTTGCTTTCTTTCTCTTCTGTCTTTTTTTTTTTATTCTCTCTCTCTTTTCCTCCTTCCATTTTCTTGAACGTAGCACAGTAAACTTATAAAAATCACCCAGGTCTGAATCACATTGAAATTTTTTTTCTCCTTCTCTGCCCTCTCTATCTATCTCTAGGAGTAATTTAACTGTGCTTCAGAAACTGTTTTGGAAGTTTCTCATTTGCCGCTTTTTAGCTCTGTATGTCTATTTCAAGTATTTTGACATATTTTTCACCCATATTTTCTTTTTCCTGGTGCTGGATGGAGATGAATCTATCTGCAAATTTGAAATAAAGCTAGCAAAAATTACCCTCTTGATAAAAGTTAATTATAATTTATTTGTAAAGGGATTGAGAATAGTACACAAAGAACTTTTTTCACGATTAATTCTTAACACTTGTTGCCAATTCAAAGTATCTTTATGTACATTGTAAAAGGGGTGCTTACTATATGTATCATTGAAAAAAATTAATACCATTTGAATTGTGAAGGCAAAAGATGTAGTTGTTCCAAAAAAAAAAAATAATAATAATGTGGAGTAAATACCGTGAAATTCAGCTTTGAAATTGCTATCAAAAACAAGGAATAAAAGTTGCTGAGAAGCAGATAAAATGTTTTTTAGAAGCTTTAAGTGGTAAGTGAAAATATTATTTTGATGGATGGACACATTGGCACACGCTCTTTGTAACGGCGCAAATTCATTATTTAAGGGTCTTAATTGAGTGGACTCCGATGCCCCAGGATATGTGAATGAGTGCATTGTTTTATAGTTCAAATGAGTGGTGCATTGTAATTAATGAAAAGTATTTTGGCATAAAATGCGTTGAAAATTATACATTCAAGGATGTTTTGTGTTAAACCTTAAGCTGGAGCCTATTTATTTATTTACGTCCAAAACAGTTAAAAACTGTCTGTGACATACTATGGGAAGAAGTTAAATTGAAGTTACATTTACGTCCAGAAGCAAAACGGGGCCATCTTAGCGTTTCCTCAAGGATCAGGGAAACGACAAAAACCTGATCGAGATGGGGGTCATTGACCCAGAAACTGAAGTACAATATTTGTTACAGGTTCTTTAAAATTATACAATCCAAATGGTAAGTAATACACAATGTAGTTAAAATTAATACTACTTTCCTTTTGGATGCTCGGTATAGTCTAATTGCTTGGAAACAGTTGTGCAGCAAAAGACATTTTTCTTTGGACTTAAACTTTTGTATCGAATTTCCTACATTTCGACACAGCCAAGGGTCAACGGTGCCTAACTTAATACTCTGTGATGCCTTCAGTGTTGGAAAAAACGTACTTGGGTATAAAATGCGTTCGACTAACTAAATAATATTTTATGTTTAAAAAAACTAACAAATGGAAAAATTGTTCCAGAATAACATGAATGATGTAAATTAGTGTTCTAAATTAAGGGGTTGGCCTCACTGATACGCGCCGACAGCGGCATTGGCCTACAGGTAATTCAGGTGTAGATAAGCGTGGACAGAGGGAGCGAGAAACGAAGGTTGTGAAAGGTTGCCTTGTTAAGTTGTTTAGCGAATCGAGCTATTTGCAAATCATTTCTCCAGGTAATTAATACTATGAATTTTTTTGTTTCTGAGTGTGGTTAAATATCAAGTTCACAAGGATTTGATTTTTCTCTGTTTTATATTTTTGAACATATTATTACGAATCACTTATAGAATGAAACTTAGTATAGTTTTTTACGTAATAAACTAGATAAATGGTTAACGTTTTGTTTTAATTTTATTCCTATTTGCAGATAACGACTGAGATTCTACATTGAACAGTGCCGCACGAGAAGATAAAATACGAAGAGCAGATTTTTGTCTTTCATTCTGCAGAAACCAAATCTTATTAATGGAATTGAACTCCCCTAATTTGAATAAAACACCTCGTAAAATTAAACGATCGCCGGAAGCCAAAGAAGAAATTCCCTGGGACTGTAGTGTGTGTACTTTCAGGAACACTGCCAAAGCTTTCAAATGCAAAATGTGCGAGGCTTGGAAAGGCACGTCTTCGAGGAAACGAAAAACTTGTCCTAGGCAAGAGATTCAGATGTTCAGTTCTATTACATCAAAATCAGTTAAAAAAGGAACCGTGGTTGTCGAGTCAATTTGTGAAGTCGTGGAAGACGAGAAAGTCAACCTAAAAACCTCTACCGAAAGTGAGGCGACCCACATGAGCAGATGTGCACAGAAATTAAACAAGGTGGACGGAAGCATTTCCCATTTAGGTGAAGTAACTGTGAGCGATGCACAACAGGTGATTCAAACGCACAATTCACTGCCACCGAATCAAATTAAAAAAGATCGCATGGCCGACGCAAACAACTTGACCGAAAGTAAGTCATCCCAGATAAGCCGGTGTGTAGTTCCAACATTAAAAAATGTTGACAGAAGCGCTGCTCAGACATTCGAAGTTAGCAAGAGCAGTGCTCAAAAGGTGATTAAAAAGCTCAGTTCAATGTCACTGAATCAAACTAAAAAAGATAGCGTGACCAACGCAATCAACTTGACCGAAAGAAAGTCAACACAGAAGAACGAACCTGCACAGGAATTAAACAATTTGAACAGAAGCATTTTCCATTCACGTGAAGCAACTGTGAGCGATGACCAGCAGGTCAATCAAACGCACAATTCAAAACCACCAAATCAAGTTAAAAAAGAACGCATGACCGACCCAAAGAACTGCACTGAAAGTAAGTCGAACCAGATAAGACAGTGTATAGTTCCAAGATTAAAAAATGTGGACAGAAGCACCGCTCAGTCATTTGATGTAACCGTGGGCAATGTTACTGTGGTAATTACGGAATTCAAACCCCTAATCACTGAAACAGGTCTTTCTCGAGAGCAAAGCAACGGACAGTCAGATAATAGCAGAACTTAAACAACATCTAATAGGATATCTTAAAATAAATAACAGAATAAATATTTGCATGACTTGACATGCCAAAGGGTTTGAAATTTTAAATTTGGACGTGCAATATAGATTAAAATTGTGAATGCCTGTTTTATTTTACTTCTGTAAATACGACTCCATGGGGAGTAATTGGTAAATGCACGTGACAAGGCAAAATACATGCCGACATACGAATAATAAACTCGAATTTGTTTCAATTTCTGAATGAACAATACCAAGTCAGGCTTGGACAGTTTTAATATTTTTTATCGTTGCATTCCCTTTTGAAGAAAACTGCCGTTGAATAGAATGAAGATACATTAGATCGGGCAATGGAACGGTCACCAGATAACGCTTCCGGCAGCTTTTCTCATTAGGCAGATCATTAAGAACAATTTCAACTGTGAAGGTGTCTCGCACCATCATTCAAGATTATTTATTGTGCATCTTGCGTCTTGTGTTCCCATGAGCGTTTTATCAAACAGCGAAGGTGAGTTGACATTGTGATAGGCTATCTAAGAAACAAGTAAATGAATTTCTGTAAGATTTGTTTACTATTTGATTAAACCGAAAAAAGGATATAAATGCAGAGGTTGTTTTCTTTATGGCTTTGATTTAACTGGAAAGGACGCTTGGAACGTTGTTTTAACATTGTAATATAAAGTTGTTTTTTTTAAATAGCATTCTTATTCCCTTGCAATTTGCTTTAACGGAGTGTTATACGCGCACGTTTTCATGAGCTCCGAAGTACTTACCCCTACTTCTTTATCAACATTAGTTGAATAAAAATGAATTATAAATGACGAGCGTTGTTGTAGCGAAATGAGGGCAAGAAAACGTGTGCGGATAATACTTCTTATTGTGTAGTATTTTGTGATGATTTATTTTGCTGTTGATGTTGCCCAAAAGAATGCTTTGATTTTATGTGTGAATCATCTTTTTCTGTAGTTCATGGGATTCATGTTTAGACCTGGCACAAACGAAACTTTTTGGGTTATTATTATGATATAAATTGATTTCATTTATTTCGTAAAAAATGAAAACCTGCTGGTGAGATGTGAGAAGAATCTGCGTTCGTTTTGTTGAGCGCCAGAATTCCTACTCACCCTAGTTTGGATTAATATACTCGTAGGAAGTTGAATGCTGAATAAATGTACTAACAATAGTTAGCAACATTTGAAAGCTCTCAATTTTGTTCCTGAGTAAAAAATAAACCTATTTGCATCAGTAAATGAGATACAGATTTCATTTTACAGTGTTCGTAAAAGAAAATTTGTAACCCCCACCACCTGAGTATACTCCAACCTCAACCAGCAAAAATAGAGCTCAAGCAAACGTATGAATAGAGAAGCAACATTTATGTCCAGAAGCAATAAAAGGAGCCATCTCAGCATTTACGCAATGAATCAAGTGAACTGGACGGAAATCTAATCGAGATGGGGAGAGGGAGATCCTAGACCTAGATGTTGAAGTACATTACTTGTTAGTCTTTCAGAATTATACACTACAACTAGTAACTAATGCATTAAATTCCGTTGTTAAAATAAATATTTTTCTTTCTGATGCTTAGTGTATTCTCTGGAGACAGTAATGCAGCATAAAATATTGTACTTGGCACTTAAATCGATTTTAATTATTGAAAGCCATTTGGTAATGAGTTGTAAAGTAAACCTAGATGTATTGGATTTCTTGTAGTGAGCTGTTGATAGTGACACCTGACTAATATGATTTCTACTCCTTAAGTACTCCGTGTGTTGTAATTAGAGGTGTATTCCGAAACACAATAATAGACCAATAAAATAGGCTAAAATAGTAGTTTACCTAGCAAGGGCGCGAAACAGGTGATTCACTCAAGAGTCGATAAACTCGACTCGTGCGTGAATCACCTGTTTCGCGGCCGTGTTGCGTATACAATTTTTTAACACGCCGTGAGCGAAACGCATTGCGTCAAGTCAAGGAATATAAATTAAATATCAAATAACTACAAATATGCACAAAAGTAAATCCATCCTAGTCAGTGTCATAACACTATTGTTAATAATAAACAAAGACAAATGCTAATCGTTACAGGTATTTCGCACATGCTTCGCGGTGTTTCGCACACTGAAAAAATTAGCTGTTTCGTAAAGGGAAAACAAGCACGAGTGACCACAATTCGCGCACGACGTGTTAAAACAGCCCTATCGGCGGAAAAATCTGAACGGCTGAATTTTCGCCGAGACGTTTGTCTTAAAATTCATAAAAAAGTTGGAAACTTCGGATCGACATCATATGTGCATTCCAAAATATTAGATGTGAAAGATCTTGAAAATTAATTTTTCATTGTATTGTAGTATACAACAGATTTCGCAAAATTTTACATGAAATATAAAAAAATCTCACACTTACTTTCTCCTAAACGGCTCGAAATTATTTTGTTCTTGAATATGGTAAAATAAATTGGGGTTCTCTTTCTTTTCACAAATTGCAAAATTTATCTTTGCAAAAGTACAGTACTAATGATAGATTTTTCTTATATGTATCATAAGATGTATGTATCAAAAAGTCATGTACAATTTTTTGTAAAAAAAAAGAGTAATTTTTACATATTTTTGTTTGAAGTTAACGTCATTTTTAAAATCTAAAACTGTTCCAAATTTTTTCCACGGAGTGGAAAAAAACGCTAATAAATGACAAAGGCATTTTTGTTAAACTTTCCGAATATTCCAAAATCGTAAAAGTTAAAAACAATGCTAGAAAATATGCGCTTTTGTAACACGAAGTTTAGGTATGCCCCGGCAGTCCAGTCATTTTACGATTTTGTCCTGCTTTACGAAAAATCTGTCACGTTTGCTGTGTTTTACAGAAATATATTTTTTTAACCAGTTGTAAATAATGTTATAACAGTATCAATAGAGGCTCTAAACTTCAGAGAATAAATTGATCTTACACCGCGTTCTCAGCATAGAGTTTAAAGCAATACTGTGACCACGGGCACGACCGATTTTTACTTCTAAAGTTGTGTTACTAATACAGATGTGAAAGATCTATTTCTTCCACAGTGGCCGTGACTAACCAAATAAGGGCCGCCAGATGTCGATCGATAATCTAAGCGTTCGACTTTGTGAACGTTCGTCACAAAATCTTGTTATGATAAACGATCGCTCCCGAATAATAGAAATTATTTTACATCGAAAAACGTGGGTAAGGTTTGATATAATAGTCCTGTCGTCGAAATAACTAACCCAGCCACTCCTCTCGCACCCAGCAAAATGACTGCTCAGGAAAACATACGGGTAATATCGATTATTCTCGGAAGAAAACGATAAGCATCATGTGTTTGATCAGAAGACTCGCATAGAATCTATATTATTGTGACTACTGAAGACATGGAATAAGAAAATATTTTGTATATTCAAAATATTAAAACATTGTATTCCTCTTTTTATGATTGCTAGATAAAAAATAGTTATTTTTAAAATAAACAATGGTTATATTTCTCCAAAACTAAAAATATTACTATGTCACTAAGGCATCGTACTTGCTCCGTGATACCGCCTTGCTGGAAGAAAACTGCATTTCGATAACGTGCTGTAATCAAACGAATAGTAAATAAAATCTTATATTGGTTTGGTTATTATCAAATTGATAATAATTTTATTTATATAGATTCGCATACAAAACGATTAGTAGAGCAATTGCTGAAGTAGAAATGAACACAAAGTAGACTTGAGTTTGTGAAGTTTTAATCTCTTTAAAAATAGGGGAGAAAATATGAAATTGTTAAGGAAACCCAGGGAAGAATCAAATGTAGTTGTAAAAGATGTGGGACAGAACTTTTGCAACTAATTGGAAACGATCTGCATTTTTGCATTTACCATTGTGCTAATGCAAATGTGGTATGTGCGTTTTTGTTAATGTAGGCAAAAAAAGCGTAAAAAATGTAGCTGTACTAAAATTTAACTATTAGCATCAAAACCTGCAAGTACTTGTTACGGCGATTATAATTTTGAAGTTGTAATAAGACCAGTTAATCTTCCGTATGGAGGTAACATACAAGGTCATTCGGTGTTGGGAACTTTTGAACGGGAGTATAACGTTATCAGCAACTACGATGCCTTGGAAAGTCCAATGCCAGATACTGAAAGAACTCATTTGAGAAAAGCTGTGCATGGAAGAAATTTATAACACAAGAAACTATTTTTAAAACAGTTTACAGCGTCGACGCCGCCACATTTCACTAGTTTTAAAATATTGCGTTCAATAACGCTTTCGTATAACATTGTCAAAGCTCACAGTATAATACTGAAAAAGATTAATTCCATTCAATATTGGACTCCATTCCTTACAAACTTGTATGTATTAATGTTCATTTTATGTACTATATTAGAACACGTAATTTGCAAAATTGCACGATAATATTAAACAGTATAAACGTAAAACACTATTTTTGATGTTATGTTAAAGTAGTTTTGTTTATCATTGACAACCAAGTTTCAATTGTGATTAATAAAAAATAAAAGGTGTGTGATTAATTATGAGGAAATTAACATTATGAAGTTAATATTTTTTTAATTACATTTCATGAGTATTGACTTTTCACAGTGAATTGAAGTGCAATACATTGAAACATGACAGAAATCTCGTAACAGCAAATCAATTTTCAGTGACTCAAATATTGATATATGAAAGAAATATTTCTTCCTGGTGACTTTGAGTTAACAAGTGTTTTGATATTAGATATTAAGTGTGAGATTTATTGTTCAGATTTTGTTTAAGTAACTTCATGATTGTTGTGGACTTCTTATTTTTTATATTTTTAAAACACATGTTTGTCAAGTTTTATTGCTCTCAGAAATTTTATTTATTGATTTGAAATGAAATGATTTACCAATGCCTTTTTGAAAATAATTTTAATCCGTATGTGTCCTTTCTTTTTATAATATATTTTCTGTCAACCTGAGTCTCCTGCATGACAAGATTACGTACAACTCTAAAGTAAATTGTAAATCAACTACACCACCTCCTCGCAGGTGCGATAAAGCCCATCGTCATGGGGAGTACTATGAGCTTCGTCATATTACCCACCATCACATCTGTTTAGTGTGGCATAGTCTTGTCGCCAGCCGTAGGAGGGCAGCACTTCCGTATGGACAATTTTAATCACGTGATTGAACATGTAGTTCGCCAGTCCTAGTGTGGGGTCCTCGAGTAATTTAGTTGACATTTGTTGACATTTGACATGGTTTACGTCGTATGCAAGAGTTCGAGGTGCCCTGTGATTTACACGAAAGTTACAACACGATCAAATATATTCTAAAATTGTGTAGAATCAGTAGTCTATCGATTTTCACTATAAAATGGATCAAATAGAAATATTGTCGGAGAGTGTAATTAAGGTAGAGAATGTAAGTATAATTTTCTAATTAAATATCATTTTCATGAGAAGATATTTTATGGAGTAAAGGTGTACTTTTGTTTTGAGCCATCGTAATTTCAAATCGTTTTAATTAAAACAGTAAAGGTGTGTTAGTTTTATGTACATTTTTAATTGGATTAAAATTGGATGCCGTAATCAACATGTTAAATAATTGTACTGCTGTTTAGGAGTAAATCGGTTATCTTGTTTCTATATAATGTGTAGACCACAATATATAGTGTAGACTACACTACTTATAGTATATTGAAGTGATGAAGGTCAGTTATGAATAGATGTGTGTGTGTGTGTGTGCAGTGAATGTATACTAAAGGACTTTTCTGGTTTTGTCAGATAAAACAGGAAATTGATGATCATCCCGAAGAGGAAAATTACAATTTCACAGTGAGTTGATGGTTTATTCTCATTACAGTTACTAAATATGAAAAGTTTAATAATGGAAAATTAGGTGCTGCTCTAAGGCTGTACTGTTTACCCTACTTTAACATAAAAAAGTTTTATGTAATGCTATAGCAACGAAGTTTACCCAAATCAGGATATATAGTGTAGTAAGTAGTAGCTCTCTCATCTCATTTTGAAGTGTTCTTCGCATTATACTCTATTCATATTTCAAATAATTTCAAGAATACCAACAAATGCCAATGTAGTTGATAGACATAGATTTATTAAAGTTTGCTTTGAGCTAATGCTCGGTGGCAACGATGATTAAAATTAGAATTAGAACAATTACAAAACTATTACAATTTAGAATTAGAACTACAATTAGAATTAAAGGTTGATATGCTAGTTCTAATTCTAGTTCTAGTTATCTCTTAATTGACTTCTATTTTATGTAACACTTCACTTCACTGTATAAGGGACATGATAATAATAACAATAACAACAATAATAAAGATAACTGTCTCAGTATTATTAGGGATGATCTAGATGGAATGAAGTATATTTTTAAATTTGGCTACATTGGAAGGAAGAGCCTCTAGTGCTTCTGCAGGTAGTTTATTCCAATCTACTATAGTGCGATCCACAAAAGAGAAGTTGCCTATATCAGTGCTTTGTTTTCTACATTGTATTTTCCAAGGATGGTTTCCTCTGCTTTTATAGTCTGGTTTCTGTAATCTTTTACTGCCCATGCTGTGTCCCCTCTGTATGTCTTGTACATTAGGATACAAACATGCCCGTTCCCTTCTCTTTAAGACTCCCATTCTTCCTGCCCATCAACATCACACCCGTGAATTACAAACTTTTGGGCCCGATTTTGAATTTTATTTAACTCCTCAATCCTTTTCTCTTCGGGTCCCAGCATGCCTCTCCGTATTCTAAAATAGGGCAAACAAGTAGTATTATGCAAGGGATCAGACATTTGAATTTTTTAGATTATGCATTACAAAGTGCAGCGCCCTCCACGATTTTTTGACTGTATTTTAATATGATCCAACCAACCATAATCACTTTGCAGGACCAAACCCAAAAACTTTTTTTTTTTTTCACATGGTATAATGTTAGTTCCTAAATCATACTTGGAATGTACATTTGAGCAAGACTTGGTAAAACAAATGTCTGTCATGCTCGCAAAGCTAATTTATTGTGGGCAATAGTCTCAAATTGAATTTTCTTCTTTAACATGAAATATCAGCCTTTTTAGAGTAATGACTATGAAGTTGAAATCGGAAACATAGATAATGGGATTGTCAGAGTCTATTAAAACATGAAAACATTGTTTGACGACATAAAGAGGCAACATAGGCATAAACAGTCCTTATTCTGTAATAAAAATCAGTGTTGTGGCCGCTGCCATCTTCAAAGACAGTTCGAGTTCAATAATTGTTGAATTATTCTTATAGTATTTAAGTGTTATTACCATCACTTCAAATTTAACTAAATTATTTTTTTTATATCCTAATTAATAATTGTTAAATGGACATGTCAATGTATAAGAAATGCAATGTGAAAGTAAATTATAAACATCAATATCATAATTGAAAACACACAGCTTAAAAATTGATTTGAAAGTTCTGAACATGGAAGATTAAAAAATACCAAAAGAATTATGATAGTTTTTATGAGGCCTCGATGAGGGATCTACAGTATATTTGAAATCATTCTCCTTTTCAATGGCTTAATTCACTTAGATACATGTTCTAAATAGCATTTTGAAACAATTTGTATCCATTCATGCAACTTTTCATCATTAATGACAGAATAAATTAATCTCCTATTAAAATTATTTGTAACTTTTCGTGATGAAATTACATTTAACTACAAAAGTCAAGCAGCTGTTCTGCTACTCAGTTGACCACCGCAAGAATATTTTTCGCAGAGAGATGCTGTTTTTGGTGATACTCATTTTTCATGGAAGCTGTCTGATAAACAGTCTACAAGCCTGAATGCTCTGCACTGTTGAAAAAAAAGGAACGCATGTGGCCCTCGTAGCATTAACATGGTAAAATACACAGGCCCTACATCATTAGACTTCTGAATGTCTTTAATGAGTGCTGGATAAAACTCTTCGCTTGAAAACAACAAATCATTTGTTAAAAGTGCCAAAGAAATGTTTTATGTGAGAGATATAGTGTTTTAAACGTAGCTTTTAAAGTATTTGCAAAAATAAACTGCTTGGATGAAAATTGTGGGAGAAATTAAGCTACAAAATGTACAGTTTGACTTCAGAAAGACTACCCCCTTAATGACCTTTTTAGTATTAAGAAAACAATAAGAAATACATATTGAAACTCAAATAGCCTTCATTGATTTTGAGTAAGTTAAAGGAAATGGTCTTAAACTGGGACTGAATGAGTGAGTGTGGCAGTACCGAACACCTCGTAAATGAATCAAAAGTTTAGACAGACACAACAATTATAATAAATACTATTACTGAGAACACTAAATACCTGTTGGTAAATGAAAGACATAAACAAGAATGTAGGTTTTACCCAATCCTGTTAATTTGTAAAGACTTTGTTTATTTGATATTTAATATTGTATTATTTAGTTTATTATGTTTTGTAAGAGAATATATGTTCATGAATGACTCGAAAACGAGGACCAAAATGTTTGTAGTAAAAGCATTTGACATGTCTTTGGGCACAAGCTTATCTGAAGTGGATATCGTGTCGTGGGATTTCAAGGGAACTTGTTGACACTTATTGGAAGTATACCACTGACTGAAATAGGCATTTTACCATTGTACTTTGACATAATGTATTTAAAACGTAAGTGAGGATTCTATAAGTTAAATGGTTCATTGAGTGTATCAATAACTAATTTGTTGTTGTTTTTTTTCTTCTTCTTCTTTTTCCCTCCTTCTTTCTTTTCTTTTTTTCTAAATAAAAGGACATTTTCTTATTTATTCATTGATTTATTTTTTCTTCATTCTTTCATTACCTTCAAATTTTGTGTCATCTCTTTTTCTTTCTGCTTTTCTTTTCTTCAAATTTTCTTCATCTTATTGAACTAAAAATCTGAGAATAGTTGTATTTAATTAACTCCTAATTTAGAATTTGAAGTTAGTATGGAAATGATTTGATTTACAGATAAAAGAATAATCTTAGGTCCACTGATAACACCTTAGGTGTATAGAATATATTAATATTTGATTTTGATTTGGTTTAGTGTTTTAATTTGTATCATGTCAGTACTGGCTAAATTTCCACAACTCAAAGAAACTGCTATTTTTTTGTTTTAAATCATTTATGAGAATCTACAAAAAACTTTTCAATATTTTAATTATTTCAAAATAAAGGAAACTATTTATTAATATCAAACAATAATTAGTGTCACCTCTGGCTTGTACAAACAAGAAAGCAAAACGACACGATCAGAAAATAAAGTAAATTAACTGTATAATATAAACTTAATTTGCTACTATTGACAAAGCCAATTTCATCACAACAGAGAAAGCAATCTTGCAGTAAAATAGAAAGCTTGGTTTGCTAGAAAGTAAAATAAAATGTAATTAAAGTAAATAATATAATATTGTAATATTCTACAAATATATAAAAAGTTTTGTTTTCATTATCGTGAATGAAAAGAAGCCCTCATTATCGCCTTCTGTTACCTGTGCGGCCTTAAAAAATTGGATACAATAACCAACAATGTGCTCTCATCTATTCACTTACACATTTAACATAATTAAATGACGCAGTTTAAAGTGTATTAATATAAATACAATAAATAATAATTATGAAATTAATTACGAAATAGTATTCAAATTTTAACTTCCTTGGCATCTAAATGCGTAAATTGAGAGCGAGCGACTGAAGGCTAGCAATCTTTATATCATATTTATTTCAAATAGATTTTAAATAATTTCTAAAAGATTAATTTGTAAACATGTAACAAATGCTCAAATGTAAGATACGAACAAAGAAATATGAAATAATATACATATTCTAACTTACGTAGAAGCAGCCAACTGTTTCAAAACACTTCTAAAATTATGATCAAGAAGCGCAGGATTTTTAGAGCGGGCGTCTAACTTAGGTGCCCAATTACTCCGAAAAATTCAAAATAACCGTATTTTAAAATCTGTTTTTGATGAACACATTTCATTAAGAAAAAAAAAACGTATCTTCATAATTGTAGTTGTATGAAGACACCGAAAAAATTTTGGATTTTTTAAATTGTCCAAAAATCAGTTTTCAACAAACATGAGACCTGCACCATTTTCTTAAAATGTTCTTCAGACCATCCACCTACAAAATTTTATCAAAAGCAATTGTGCCAATTTTGAGAAAAGAAAGTAAAAATTAAAAATTGCATATATTTAACGCAAGATCACGAAAAATACTCAAATTTTCGAAAAATTGTACATTCACTCATTTCCAAATCTATCTTTAAGAAACAGATTTTATTAAGGAAAAAACTCTTTATCTTCAATATTTTAGTTGTAAAAAGACACTGAAAAGAATTTTTAATTTTCGAAAAATCAGTGATTTAACGAACATGAGACTTGTGCCGTTCTCTCTCTAGCCCTTCAGACTATACACCAACAAAATGCAATGAAAATGGATGGCGTCATTTTTTTAACAATGTGAAAATGTACCAGAGGCTTAAGGTAAAGTACCCCCCCAAAATTAAAATATCGGGACTAAATTTAAGAGGCCGCGACATCAGCCAGATTGATAAGGAAATATCAATTTTGAAGAAAATGGGCTGAACGGTTTAGCGTTGTTGATAGACGGACAGACAGCAGTTTTGCCATCAGTCGATTTTTCGGTCGGATGGATTCTGGCTACACCACGTCTTAGAGGTTTTTTTTTTTTTT